TTCAAATGTAGATACTTTTTGTTTATTATCCAATGCTGTGTCGGACAACCATTGTTCATTAAATTCTACTCTTCATCTAGTAAGATCCAATATTCATTCTACGCTCTCAAAATCTCAAAATAGAAGGAGTCAAAGTTTTTAAAAATTCTTGTAAAAGACACTTTGGTCCACACCCTAACACCATTAATACCTTGTTCATACAATTCTCTTATTGCATTTTTAAGGCGCTGTTCACACGATTCTCGCAAGCAGTAGAAGAATGCTAACACCGGGGCTACTCACCTCACAATCACACCATCCATTCAGTGCTTTAGGGCTTGTCTAAAAATAACGTCATCTCATCCGTTAATTAAAATCTACTCTTCATCAAGTAAGCTTACACTAGACGTTTTCCCTAACAAAGACACGCCCCACCCACATCCCCTAAGACGACCACAAAATTCCACACCGCCACTCCCACATTTTATAAAACACAGTTCTACATGAAAGTTTGACATAATTTGTATTTTTCAACGTACGTCCAATTTGTCAACCCCTCAAAAGTCCAATTCCCTCCCCTATCCCGAGGTCAACACCTTGAGTTGAGGACACCCCAAACTATTTTTTCTACTCTATATTTACAGTCGGATTTGAACAGTCCTGACAGATGAAAACACACAACCCTACAACTTCGAATTGATGAAATAACCCTTCTAACCACACGTTTTTTTTCAGGAGGCTACACCCCCCCCCCATATCTCACCTCCTATTTTGGCATGTGGATTACCGTCACGTAAAATATATTATTCAATCAGTGTTTCATTCAGACTTTTTTCTCCGGGGGGGGGGGGGGCACTTGATATTTTCTGGGGGGGGGGGGCGAACTAAATTTTTCGGGGGGGGCAGTAGATTTTCTTCGGGGTGGGGATACCTGGAAGAAACTCTGGGTGCTACTAAATTGTATGGAATAAGACAGAAAACCCTACAACGAACAATGAGCTGAGATCTACAGCACTTGTACCCCCCCCCCACCCCTTCCCCCTCACATTCCCCACAAGATGTCGATGAAGCCACTGGTCAATGTAAAAAATTAATTTTCTATGTCCGGCACTGTGGCAATTTAAGAAGAAAATCCCCCATATAAAAAGACGGCTTGATGTTTTATCACCGACTAGCGTACCCGCCCAGCGCGTTGCTGCGGTCTCAGAAGAAAGGCGGACGCATTGTAATTAAGGAGGATTTTATCAATGCGTTACTAATCGTGTATATTTAGACGATTTACCCTGTTTTCTAAAATTGAGTTTTTAAATGCAAACAAAACAGGCGCTATATTTCTTGGATCGTGGTACATAAATGCCTTGAGTGTACATTAATCGCCCACCGTAATAGTGAGGTAGAACACACCTCGGCGACTGAAGTCACTGTTTTATGTTCTGATAAAATTCTTTGTTTCGAATGTTCGCTATAGATCTAGATTCATAGTTTCTTTAAAAAAATTTCATTAGGGGGGGGGGGTGTTAACGCCTGAAAGAAACAGTGTCTAGAGTAGAGATCAGAACTCTCGAGGTCAAGCACTAGGTTAGGTGGATTGAAGCTAAATTAGGGAAAACAGCTGTTCAACATTGACTATGTAACCTTGGGAGGGTCTTCACATCATCAAAATTTTTGTTCTTCACGAGCTACCGATAGTATTTTAAAACAAAATATTTTCATTCGCAGCATTGGTAGTGTCGAATTCACATATGAATGACTGAAAAAATACTAAATTGCGCCGAATGTTACGTCGCGAGTCGGCTCGTTACTTTATAAAAATGCAAGTGTGACGTCACACTTTCTGAACACCCCCACCTCCCTCTCCTCTTCATCACACATCGTCGCAAACTTTCGAAATCCACCCCCCCCCTCAGGAATGTGACGTTAATTTTGGACGACCCCTTAAGACGAAATCGTAATTCTAAAGATTTGGTTTTAAAGACCATACCTTAATTATAAAGACATTGCCTATTTCTTTTTACAGACACGAAAGTTTTACAGACAACAACTAAATTCGTATCTCACCCGTGTTTTCCCGCCGGAAATAAGGGAACCACTTGGGTCTCAAAATAACTGCGGATGCTGTCTCTGACGTAATCAAAACGATGACAGAGAGGATGACGACTTTAGACAACATGTTTGCAGCCTCGTTTCAGTTTTCTCTGGACGGCGGTTCCTGCAGATAGCGGTACCTAGAGAGTCAGTTGTTTTCTCAAATTAGTTTCTCAATACATGATTGGAAAAACATTATTTTAAAATTGATTAGTTAATTTAAAAATAATTAATGATTTTTGCAGTGATATAATATGATCTAATTTAACTTTGTTTAAATGAATCATAACATTATTTGAATATTGGATCAAATTTGTGTCGTTAATAAAATCGCTTGATTAAAATTTGGTGAAATATCATGCTTTATTAAAAAGACATAATTAAAATGTAAAAAAAAAACGTCTAAAAAACTAAATAAATACTTATTTATGTTTCGCTTCAATAAGATAAGTTAAATTAAAAGTTAGGCAAAACATTGAACCTACCTCCAACGTCAGGTTGTAGGAAATCTTTCTGAAGAATTTCAAACTACTTTTATTGATGCTTCTTTTAAAATTTATTTTTTCTAAAGTTTTAAAATTTATTCAATTATTTTTTAATAATTGTTCACACTGTTTGACTAACTGATTGTGGTAAAGTTTTTTTTTTTTTTAGATCTTTATATTTGTGCAAGTGTTAATTATTAAATGCCTTTCGACTGACGAAAAAAGCGTTGTTAGCTAGGTGATAGCAGTTCGAAAATTCGAAGTCACAAACTGTTAATGGTAACAGTAGTCTTCGCGGAGTTAGTGGAAAAACAACGCTTTACTGTGATGAATGGAGAGCCGGGCCTAATTTTATACTGAGAGAGTTTGTCATGGAAGGGTGGGTGGGGCGGAGTGGTCAAGTTGGGGGTGGTAGGGTCGGGGTGAAAGTGGGGAGGTTCAAGAAGAAGCTGAATGAATTTAGAACAGAGGTGAGTGCTTGACAACGTCTTCATTTCACCCAGCGCGAGCAAATCTCGGTCATGCCGCCTCACAAAGCTCAAATCCCTACACCCCCGCGTGAGTTTATAAAAAAAAAATAGTTCCACGTTGATCTCATAATTGAATAGACTGGTGTAGTTTTCTATGGTGCTAGATTAGAAGATCTTAGCTGGCATGGCGAGCCGGCCTAGGAGGATGGACATCGACACCGGCCATAAAGATGCAATAACCCACAATCCTTAGCGACTTCGTTCGTCCTCCCGTGGCGCGCCGTGTGTACTCAGGCAATTAATCGGGCACACTTTTGTTTGGATTCTATAAATAGAACGAGATTGTAAATAGATTAGGACACTTCCTGTTGAGACATGCGCAGCGTGACTATTGGAACGGACACTGAACATAATACGGAGTTGATTCATGTGAGCTTGTTTTTTTAAATAAAAACATGGCTTTCATTAAACGCAGCTTTCAAAGAAAGCTCTGAATTATGTTTCACTCGCTGGAAAATGTTTTGTTCCCAGCTCAGTTGATGATAGCCAGAATTAGAATGCATGTAGAGACTGCATTTCTATACAAATATTAGCTCTAACAATTTTTCAATGAACCTTACATTTTTTTAAAGCAGCTAAAAGCAGACAAATATGAGTTTAAAGGCTCAACTTAGACGACATAAAATCTAACAGAGCATTGTTGTGATGCGAGGAATTATTTCAACAAGAGAATTTTTTCTTTAACAAGACTAGCAGGCGGTTTCAACCTAAACGTAATTTGATGCTTTCAACTACAATTGTGGGTGATTTCAACCACAGTGATGGATGAATTCAACCTCAATTTGTAGAGCCTAGATGAGGATGAATTCAACCACAATTTGAAGTAGTGAATTGAAGAGGATGAAGTTATTGTTTGTGGTATCGCATTGAACTTTGAAGCTTATTTTAAGCACGTTTTACTTTCTCGTTCAAGGAGTATAGAGGTAGCATTGTAATAGTGGGAACAAATATCGCAAACAGATTTGAACACTTTTACCCGTCTACAGTCTAGGAATCGAACTCCTAGCTTTAGACACTCGGCCACACCCATGAAACATTTCATCTAAAGCTGCCATTGATAGATGTTTAAATACGACTGTAGCTACCCATATTCTAATATCGTGTTTATCAAACGTATTATTCCATCGAAATTCGTGTGCCAATTTCCCTCTGCTGTGATTTAGAACATGAGGTAAACTAGTGGTTTCATACCTTGCGTTTATTTAATCAAATATACAAAATAAATAGAACACATTTCAAATATATACCAAAACATTTTCTAACATTTATGATACTAGGTTTCAAAGATTAATAATATAATTGTAACATTTAAAAATATACATAAAATACGTATTTTCATTGCTGCACACATTTCCACACAATATAACATTTGCTTACACACACACACACACACACACACACAGACACTTAATAATTTTACATTTGCGTGTTCTCGAGAATAGTAGGGGTGGGGCCTTTTAGTTGAATCTAGATATATTATAAACAACTGACTAATAATTTTGAAAATGTAGAAAACGAGACATCTGTTGTATGTTTATTTAGGTTTATTACAAGATGTGAGTCTTTTGGTTGCGTTCTTTCAAGAAAATAACCAAAAAGGCCTATAATAGGATTTTTTTAAAAATCGCAAGTTGCCGAATGGTAATCTAGCTAGGTCATAGAGTCTTTCCTTGTCAAGCCAAGGGAGATAACCAAAGATGACTTGGTTTTTTAAAATCTTAACTGGCCAAAAAAGAACTCCTGGTCCTAGATTTCCGCGTCGTGTACGTGTATTATTTATAAATGGGGTAGATTGCAATGGTTCAATGTTTGATGAATGCTTGGAAATATTTAAACAAAAGATATCTTAGCCCCCCCCCCTTACCACCAATCATCACACAATGTCAAAAAGTTTCGCCCCCCCCTCCCCCCCGTTCCTTCCTTAGCGTGTCATGTTGTGAATGGACGCCTCCATTTCACCTTAGTCTTGAAGAACACTAACAATGTGAACAGTATTCTATGGGACAACGAACTTAAGCTAAAATTATTTTTTTTTTAAATAGCTGGTGTCATTAAAACAACGTATTGAAAAATTGAAACATTTATAAATTGAAAATATTTTTATAAGAAAGTAAAATTTGTACAAAATAAAGTCAAAAGCTTTCACGGAACAGGGTAATGACCAACCAATAAAAAATCGTCTATTTATAGATTTATATTTCAATGATAATAAAGAAAAGTACCAATACAGTTTACGCGCCATTCTTTACGTATTCCAAAAAGTTAAGCCTAGGCTAAAATCAAAGGGTGATCGTAAACCTGCGGCGTGGTATGGTTAAACCAAGAGTCTTTGGTACCCTGGAATGAACAGGTCTGTTACTTTACTCACGAAATCTTTCAACAGTTCTAAAAATAGCAAACTTGTGCGGGACTCTGCAGTGAGTACACAAAGATACACATCTACTCGTTGAAAGGACAGTACAGTGAGTACACACATTTACACATCGGAAGACTGGTGCGTGTTCGTATGTACATTAGTGTGCAGTGAGTACACATGTACACACAACTACACTTTGGAAGACTGGTTCGTTTACAACACTGTGTACAAGACTGTGTACAATACTGTGTACGAGTACACACATCTACACATTGGAAGACTGGTGCGTGTACAACACTGTGTACAAGACTGTGTACGAGTACACACCTACACATTGGTAGACTGGTGTGTGTACAGCACTGTGTACAACACTGTATACAAGATTGTGTACAGATCTGTGTACGAATACACACAACTACACATTGGATGACTGATGCGTGTAAATGTGTACATGCGTATAGAGTAAGTACACATGTACACACACCTACACATTAGAAGACTGATGTGTGTACAACACAGTGTACGAGTACACACACCTACACATTAGAAGACTGGTGTCTGTAAAACACAGTGTACGACTACACACACCTACACATTAGAAGACTGGTTTGTGTACAGCTCTGTGTACGAGTACACACAACTACACATTAGAAGACTGGTGTGTGTACAACACTGTGTACGAGTACCCCCATCTACACATTAGAAGACTGGTGTGTGTACAGCCCTCCCAATGTGATGTTGTCGTCCTCTGCCGTGTCCTCCATGTTGATGGTGTAGCTCGAGGCGTCACCCGAATCATCCTCAGAGTCAGTGGAGGAGTCACTGGAGTCAGCCTCGCTACTCCCTAACGCATGCGCATCGTCTTGACCAGAGGCTTCCGAGTTCGAGTCGTCGTGGTCACAGAATTCTGTGACGTCACGGTGCTGTTGTATTAGTGTCACATCACGGTGCTGTTGTATTAGTGTCACATCATGGTGCGGTTGTATCAGCTCTTCTTCCTTTGATGTTGTAGTGTTTTGATGTATCTCGTCTGTAACGTTCACCCCGTCTTCTGATGAGAAGATTCTCCTGTTCCTTCTGTAAGGTTTCACTTGTGTTTTTGACGGTGATTGGTCTTGGTGTTCCCAACCTACACTGTACGTTTCATGTGGTCTGGTGGTAGTTTCTGTATCGCTTGTCTCGTCTGGGTTTGTTTCTGTGTCGGAGTCGATGTCCCGTTGTCTTTCTAGCCCGCGTGGTTTGTTTTCTAGAGGGGTTTGTTCGGTGATAGGTTTATTGAGCTTAGCCGATTGATCATCAGGCCTATAGTGTTTAGCCTGTGGATCATCAAGCATATAGCGCTCAGAAGGTGGATCATCAGGTGTGTAGAATCTTGATGGTGGATCATGAGACCTATAATATTTAGACGGTGGATCATCCGACCTATAATACTTAGACGGTGGATCACGATCAGTTTGGAAGTTAAGAGTGTTGTCCTGAAAGAAGATCATACTGTCTGACACTGGTCTTCTGGTACTGGACTGTGGGTTTTTTGTGCGCATGTCAACTGAAGATTTGCCGGAAGTCACCTGATGTCCGCCATCTTCTTTACCGCTGCCATCATCTTGGTCCATTCGGGTAATGGAATCTCCTGTCCTTAGCTCGGTCACTTCGCTTAGTGAGGTATTTCTCGGTGGTTTCATCTTACTTCCGGTTATAGAGTTTTCTAGAATGTTATCTTTGTGACTGGCTGGACCATTCTCTTCTGATCGACCGCTGTCGTCTTCACAGCCGTCAGTACCCGGCATTAAGACCGGTCTTTGAGCAACGTTCAAATTACTGAATTTTTTCGGATTGTTCTTCAAACCGCTCGTGTACGTGTCTTGTGGTGCATCTTCACGGTAAAATCTCCGCGAAGACCACCGGTTTCCGGTCAGCTGTGCGTCGATCTCTGACTCTTTGTTTAACATCATCATGAGCTTGTGAGGGTTCAAATCCCTGTCGAGCGAGGCGACTTTCCTTTCGGCGGCTCGGCGTTTGACCACCCTAGGGGACATGGCTGGGGAGCGGCTGAGGGAGGAGATCTCAGGGTACTTCCTGCCGAACAGCGTCTCGTATCGCTCGTCTATCATTTGCTTAAAGAATTTGTCGTTCAAAGGGTCGTTCGCGCGGGATTTCGCCATCAAGTCGTAGAACTCAGCCGACCATGACCTCGCCGTGTGAGGTGACGCGTGACTCCGGCCTCCCAAACCGGCACTTAAGAATTCACCGGAAGCGGATCTTGTCATCATATCCTCCCTAGTCCCGCCATCGTTGGCCTTTGAACCCAGCGGCATGCTGGGAGCACTAGCGCGACGTACCTTCTCAGAAGCCGAGGCCGATCGGTCTACTTCAATCAGAAACGGGTTGTTGGCCCTGGCTATTCGCCTTGTGCGAGACGGAGCAAGAGCGATTTGTTCCTGCGGTTTATTAGCGTCATCTTTAGCGGAGGAGTCTTCCTTGGTTAGAATGATCTTTGGGATGTTTTGTACGTTTAAAATCTGCACCGTTTTGTTTGGCGGCGCAGGCGACACGAGAGCAGATGCAGGGGCAGACGATGTCCTGTCCCGGATGTACTCCGTGTACTTGCTTATGTCCCCTGATGCCAGGTACCGACTCACACCCTCGTCGCCCGCCCCCTCGCAGCTGTTCTGCTGTTTCAGTTTGCGACTGTTACGTCCTTCTAGAATTTTCTTCGCGGCGACGCTAATAATCGGGGTCACGAAATCAGATTTAACCTTAACCTCGGGGCCATCTTGCATGACATGTTTTTCTTCCGATTTTCTCGAAGCATCGAAATCTAGTTTTTGGTTAGAAGTTTTAGGTTCGTTTAAAGCGCTTTCTGGTTCAGTATTCGGCGTCTTTTTTCTTGTCAGCGAAGATGATTTAACATCTTCATTGATAGCACTCGTGTCAGACGAGTTGCCTATGAAGAACTGAGTAGTTGGAGGCGAATCTTCGCTGACTGCGGCTAAGTTGTCTACCGTTTCGTACATGGATCTTGGTTTCTTGAAGCCGCTGTCTGGGACTTCCAGATGCTCGGACGACGGCACGGACACGGTGCTGACCTTACGTCTGGGCGTCTGGTCGTTGACCCTCAGCCTCGCGTTGGTCGCCTTGAGCTGACTCTCGTCAAAGCTGACGCACTTCAAGATCCTCGGCCGCTTCTCTGACGCGGAGGACGAGCCGGCGGAGACCGTCTCCTGCGTGCCCTCCGACTCGGTGGCGCTGTCGTGGATTCGATCGTGGGCCGGCGAGTTGAGCTCACTCACGCTGTCGCTGTCCTGCTCCTCCTGAGTGTTGCTCCAACGATCTTCGGTCACGTGATCGACCCCGTCGTAATCGTGGGCGTATCCCCTGTTCTCAAACCCGCGATGGAGGTGCGAGTTCATGTAGTCAAACGTTCGCTTGGGTTTGACTGGGGGAAGTTTTGTGGAATCTTTATACTGCTGCAAGCTTGGCGCCGATGTTTGATGATGTTCAATGCTACTCCCAGCGCCGTCTAGCGGCGTGTGGGGTAAAATTGGAGCCGAGTTTCCAGAACTCTGCAGCGATGCTGTGCTCTTATTGGACGATTCTCTGACGTACTTATGGAAACGTTTCTCGAAGCTGGTCAGATTCGAACTCCCGTACCCGTAGTCGTAGAACCTGGATTCCTGCAGGTTGTATACGTCAGCGTCGGGATAATCAGCTGACGATAGACTGTCCAACTCAATTTCCTCGAAATTCGACATTTGGTTGTATTCGTCTACATCCGGTATGGGAAATCCCGATGCTTGTTTCCGGGCATCCCCGTTTTTTTGTTTTAAAAGGGATCCATTTTTGTTGCTAGTGAGGGAGGCGGAGATTTTGTTCTTCACGGAAATGGCTTGGTTGGTTAAGGCCGCTGGGAGACTTGACGGGACCTGTCGTCTGCCCGGGTAGTGACCTCCCCTAGGGTACGGTAAGGTCATCTCGTCGATTTGACTGCTGGTTCTGTTTGCAGAGAAACAGTTCAAGTTTTGAGTTTATCAACAGTCAAAGGTTGAAACAAATGATTATAAGTAACGCCATAAAGTAGGATACATTTAATAGGTTTTGGTGTGAAAATACAATATTAGACAATAACACTTTACAATTTGAAATTAAGCCTAAAATCCATTGGTATTAATAAAGCAAACTTATTCTGATTGAAAGAGCATTGTATTAAAAAATCTTTTGCTCAAACTATTATCTTTAAAAAACAACAACAACCCCATCAGCTTAGCCTCCCACTGTATCTAGATATGTATATGATATATGATGGGAGATTTATGTATTTCCCCTTCATCCTGTGTGAGAGAAAGACCTTCCCCCCCACCCCCCATTCCCCCCATCTTGTTTGAATTTAGTAATGTCATTTCTCCAATATGATTAAAAAAAACTTGACTTCGATGTACTTAAGAATTGACAATCCTAGACTAGACCTACATATGTATCACATATCACATCGAGAGAAACGGCCAATTAAACAGTACCTGGTTCTAGACTTTAGACGTCGGAATTTCCGGTAGAACAAGAGCAGCACCATCGTGACAACAACCAGCAAGATGGCGAACGTGACCACCAGTGGTACTGCCCAGTCTGTGGTAGTTAAAAAAAACAAAAAAAAAAACCTTTCAAATTGAGAAAGATTTGATTTATTGCAATAGTTGTATTGTGGATATAGTTGGAACAAAAAAAAACATTTCGAAGTGCAATAGATTTTCTTTATGGCATAGTTGTCTGGTGAATATAGTCAGAAGGTAAACAGAATGACTGGCCTTTGTTAATATTATTACTTTACTTTTCACTGGGAAGGGTGTGTGTGTGAGGGGGGGGGGGTGGGCAGTGTTTCTTCCAAACTTTTTTCTCCGGGGGGGGGGGGAATTTGAAATTTTCGGGTGGGCGGTCAACATTTTTCGTGTGGGCGGACACTAGTAAAAGTGTATTTTTACAATATAAAATCCATCTCGTTCGGGATGGGGGGGGGGGGGGGGGGTGGTAGGAGGGAGGGAGGAATATTCACTTGGAAAGAGAGATCATAAGGAGGGTTATAATAAATGAGCGCTACGTGTGTTATTGAACTCGATACTTAAAAGCAAGCGCGATGAATGTATAAACGATATCTTGGAAGAAGTTAGACAGATGTATTAAATTAATATTTTGTTATGATCTTCTATAGATATATAAATTCAAATATGAAAAAAATTGGTGGCACAATACTGGGGCTTCCGTGTTGTAATTTAGCAGTCAATAAATCTGTTGATAAACTGTTGAGTTCCCTCGCTTTGTATCGACAAAAACCGTGGGGTATAGTTACACATACCAACGGTTAGAACAAGTTGGGCATTTATATTGGATTAAGATAGTGAGAAAAATATATGAAACTTTTGACGAAATCTGGCCAATCTGTTTGTCCCCCCCCCCTCTAATACAACAGCGATTGACAAACATTCAACGCCCCCCCCCCCCCACCCCCGGTCAATTACTGTTGTCTTGTTATCAAATAGGTTGATGCATTTAGTGCAAGTCCACCAAGTGATGTGGTTAACTTAATTAATTCCTGTTTTGTTTTTTCAAATCTAGCGCTATGGTTAAGGGGTCATCCATAAATGACTTCACGCTTTTTGGACGATTTTTACCTCCCCCCCCCTCCCCTCCGTCACAAAAAGCCAGACCCCCCCCCCCTATAATGACGTCACACCTCAGCCTACAAACCCCCTCAAAATTGCAGTTGAAGTTTTCTTAAAACAACGATATTTTTCCAAAATCTTGTCTGAGCTGTCAAAATAGAGTATTTTAATCAATTCCTATTGCAATTTATCAAAAACAGTTTTCTAAAACGCAAAATAACGTCTAAAATTCGTTTTCTAACATTGCTTTTTTATAATGCAAAAGTATGACGTCGCACCATATGAATCCCCCCTCCCCCTCGTCACACACCGTCACAAAATTACGGACCCCCCTCCCCCCCCTGTGAGTGTGATGTCATTTATGGACGACCCCTAACTTTACCTTTATTATCCGTGTCGTTTGGCTCTGCATCTGCTGGTTGTGCCGTGGAATCTTCTCGAGAAGCTAGAGACACAAGATAGGAGGGGACATAACTGGATGGCAGAAAACGGTCGGGTATCGTCTGCTCTTTTGTTGTCGGATCTCGCGACACGTGGTTTGGTAGGAGCAACATTGCAGACGACATTTCAGATTGTACTTCTGCTGTGGAAGTTAACGTCTGGTCTGGATGTTGAGTTACAATATTGGCAACGTTGATGTATTGTGATACGTCGTTGGCGTTAGAAGAGAATAGGTTGAACTCAACATTACTGCTATGTGGCGGGAAACCGTGGCCTAGCTCTTCTGAGATGAAGGATGAAAGTGCTGGTTCCTGCTGAGTTGGGCTAGGTGTGTTTGCATCTCTGTGGAATAGTGCGGGAGTTTGGTCGATTGGCGCGCTTTCTGTTAATAATATGGGCACGGGTGAGGGGAGGAAAGAATCCGCCAATGATATTTGAGCTTTATCGTCAAGTCCAGTGGTCGAAACTTCCAAACGATGTGTATATGACGTCAGATGAGCTGTAGAGTAATCCATCTTGGTGGAAGAAGAACTGAGGATTGTCTGTTGCTTTGTGTAAAAATTAGCAGAGGGTTGTCCATAATCATTCGCTGAAGGGGAGGTAAAATTTTTAGAAGAACTGGGCAAAATGTCAGAAGTTACCGCCCCTACCGCTGTTAAAGTTTGTGTCGGTGCGATGCCATTTGTTCGAGTATATTCAGGTACATTTTCTGATCTTGATTGCAATAAACTGGATAAATAGGTATTTGATTCTTCCGAGATTGTTGGTGACAGTAGAACGGATGTGGATAGAGTATTGTACGATGGATTACCCGCAGTGGAAAAGGTTTTGGGCACAGTGACCAGAGGCGTGGTGAGATGACTGGTGTCGTCAAATGCTGGGTACGCAGTGTACGCTGAGTCGCCCAGTACTGAGCTTTGAGCCCCCACAACACCATCCTGGGCTGCAATGTAGCCGCCTGTTGGTGAAAACAAAAAAATGAATTTAAAATAGCAAAAGTTAGAAATGTACAAGAAATTTTTTGGAATTTTAATTCTATACATCTATACATACACCACAGAGATGTATAAGTAAAGGCATGGGCAAGGAGTTGTATGACCGAGTATTTAAACACCAATAGATCTTAAAACACAAGAAATACATTTTCAATGGTTGTTGATTTCAATAAATGACATTTATACCTAGGGGAGATCTGAAGTGTGTGGCCATAGGTAACGTGGTGAGATGGTGGTGTAACGTTGTCAGAGGCGTAGCGACCCCTCCCGGCGCCCGGGGACAAACTTTCGATTTGCGCCCCCCCCCCCCCTCGAACTTTTCATTCATTTGCACCCCCCTCAAACTTTCGATTTGCACCCCCCCCCCTCGAACTTTTCATTTGCACCCCCCTCAAACTTTCGATTTGCACCCCCCCCCTCGAACTTTACATCTTTACATTTGCACCCCCTCAAACTTTCGATTTGCACCCCCCCCCTCGAACTTTTCATTTGCACCCCTCCCCCCCTCTAACTTTCGATTTGCACCCCTCCCTCGAACTTTTCATTTGCACCCCCCCCCTCAAAGTTTCAATTTGGCGCCCCCCTAAATTATTGAGATGTAACGAATGTGAATGTTTTGTAATTAAACATCACTTTGTTGTGTGTGACATGTAAAGACTTTTGACTTAGTGTGTTACTCATATGAGATGTAAATAATGAGAATGTGTAGGTGTGCTAGATAATTGGCTTATCTGAACAACAACACAACAGATATCTTATCTCTACAAACACGCGCGCCATCTTGTGTTCATGAACTAGCTTCTCTGTAACACGGTGTGTACAGTTCATTCCTGTAAACGTTTGGTTTTTTTCTTTTTTAATAAATAACTAGAAGTCCACATTTTCACTTTTCGGTTATTTGTTTTAGTAGAAATTTGTATTTTTACTTTTTCTTGTGTTTGAAAATTGTTAACAAAATAGGCCTACTTTTTCCGTAAAGTGTGTTTATAGATGTTAATTGTTTATTGAAAACTGAAAGTAGTTTTGTAAAAAAATAAATAAACGTAGTTAAATTTGTGGGTTGCGAAATTACGTGAATGGGGTACATTATTAGATTTTGGGGTGTGCCCGATATTTGGAGCTCAAATGCTTTTTACTTTTAAATTTAAGTCTTTGCTTAATCAAACTTTTTCTGTGAATGTTTTGAACTCTGGAGAATATTACACTCGCAAACACTCTAGCCTCGAGATTATCCTTTGTGTTATAAACTTAAATTCGGCTGTTATACATTACGTATTAATGTAGTCTACATTTTGTAAATGATGGCATATATCTGTAAAGATTGTAGAAAATACAAGGGTCTTTCATAAATTACCCTTAAGGTCGGACATTTCACAACTGGGGGCGGGGGGGGGGGGTGTTAAAAATATCTGACATATCATTTTTGATATAAAAGTTTAAAAAAAAAAACGTGACATTATGCGGAGTGGGGGGGGGGTGATGTGTAACCAGTTTTTGGACGCCATTTATGGTTAAATACAATCATACAAAATGAAAACAGAATATACTTTTGAAATAATTAATGAGGAAACACCAAACTAATATGAGCTTTTATACAAAGAAACATATCTTTTAAAATGGTTTAACTCTGAAGCTCATACTTGGCCTACCCCTCTTGACATAAAACATACAGAACAATATCATATTCAAAAGCGATCTTTATATTTCAAAAGCCGGAGTCTTATAAATCTGAACGAAATAAAATCAAACCAAATCGTTAAACTTACAAATTGAAATGAAAACGGCCAGTTGAGACAACCAAAGTCGTCTAAAAACAATCGACGGCAAATAGGTCACCATAGTTAGAGAACAAATCAAACTAGGTTAGAATAATCAGGATGGGAAAATAATCCATTGTTCACGACACTGATGTTTGTGTCTTAGAGGCTAAGTTCGGCTTCTGTTGACAACTAGAAAGGCTCCATTGGAAACTTCACTCCATCGCTCCTTAAAGCAACCGTGTTTTTAAACTGCTAAACTAGATTAATTATCATCTGGTTAATTGGTGTGTGTGTAATCTAGCCCCGCACCTATTTGGTTGCTGTAATCATTCAATGAGATTGTTATCGTTATCAGACTTTTGAATCTAGCACGACATCAACAAAACCGTCTGGTATTTTTACTATCTTCACTTCTATTTATAAGTCGATAAATGACACACTACGGTTGACATATTATATGGCAGGGTGTAATTGGATCATAAAAAGTTAGATGACATAGATCTATGTTGTTGACATTTAAACAGCTCTAATGACCAGGGGCGTAGCGAGGGGGGGGGCGGGGGGTGCGGACCGCACCGGGTGACACCATTTAGGGGGGTGACACCAAGGCAAAAAATAGCAAAATATATAGAGAAAAACTCGAGGGGGGGGTGCAAATCGAAAGTTTGAGGGGGGGTGGGTGCAAATCGAAAACTCGAGGGGGGGGGTGCAAATCGAAAGTTTGAGGGGGGGGGTGCAAATCGAAAATTTGAAAGTTTATCCCTGGGAAGGGTCTCTATGCCTCTGGGGGGGTGACACCATTAAGTGCCGCACCGGGTGACACCCGACCTCGCTACGCCACTGCTAATGACATATTAGAATCTGTTGTTAACATCATTTAAACAACCATCATGACATACTTGAATCTGTTGTTGACTGATGACACAAGTGATAGCAGTGTTATATGATAGGTCGGCGTGGTCGGGCCGTTAAAGCTCATGATTGCTAAACTGAAAAGTTCCGAGTTCGAACCTTCGCGCAGACGAGGCTCCATAGTTAGTGATGGTAACCCATCTAGGAGAGAGAACTAGAGTTTTCTCTCTTAGATGGGTTACTGATGCCTTGTAATTATGACAGTATATTAAAAAAAATGGAAATCCCCTCCAACAAAACAATTAAGGAAGAAGAAGTCTAAATCGTTTATCCTCGGTTGTCAGCAGTCCGTCTATTTCGACATAAAAAACCTGCAGATTTTGTTGTGTATTAAAATGTTTATTAGATTCGTTTTTGTTTTGTTTTTAAGTGATAATTTTGATTTACCCACATATTCGTAGAAATTATATTTGGCTTTTATACCATAGCGAGTGGACACCCAACAAAACAAAAATATTTTAGCTACAGTGAGCAAGCACTTGGGTGCTATAACCCCAAACTATCGGAATCCAAACTTGCTGACTTGACACCTTCCCTGAAATTAAAAAAAAAAAAACTATCCTGACACCCATTGTGGTTCAAACCTTCAATGGTCGAACAGTTTCAAAAACACATCCATTATATATGCGTCCAAAAATGGGACAATCAATACAACACAAACACATTCTAAAATATGTATGATCTTTTCCTTTTTGTGTCCAAGACATATGGGTCCGCCACAGAAAGCTCCCTTCAGTTTTGTCGGTAACCGGCAATTTTCCTGGCAGTCCCCCATAACAGTCCTGCCTCTGCCAGCTGCTTCCACACCATGCTCCCCCACGTCTTACTTGGCATTTCCTGCATTTTCTCCCTTGACTGAGGTGTCAAATTTAGCGCTGTTCCTGCGATGCCATCTGGATTCATTCTTACGACGTGCCCCATCCATAGCCATCTTTTTTTTTTCGATTATTTCACAAACTGCTTCCGTTTCCATCTCTCATAATAGTCTATCTTTGAAATGGTATAAGGCCAGTGTATGCCAAAGTAAGTGCTTGCGAACGATAAAAGGCATACACTAAATTATTTATATATGTATGTAAACCTTTTAGCCCCCCCCCCCTCGCATATGCCAGAAGCCTTCCCTTAACATGTTATTTTTAAACTAAGCCACAACCAGCGCCTTCACAGGAAGAGTTAACTTTTCTTGTCTGAAGTTATCTTTTGATGATTAAATGTTCCTCTTTTCGTGAGATTAAAGACTTTCTACAAACAAAAGAACATAAAATATCGGCTAATCTTTGGCGCCTGCATTACAAATCAAGAAGGATCGCATGATGCCACCCCCCCCCCACTCCCTGAGTAGAATTTAAACAAATATGTAACCAGCATCGTTGAAAAAGAGATTCACGAATACTTAAGTCTTGTGATAATTATCTTAGTTTCCCTACCTTGAATAAACGAAAGGTACTCTAGCTATTTGAAAAATAGATTCACGATTAACTAAGTATTGTGATAATTGTCTTAGTTTCGCTATCTTGAATAAACAAAAGGTATTCTTTTTGAAAAACATAAAAATGCGCTATAGTTTTACTGTATCTACTTTCATCGCTACACCGAATATCTTTTTTCTTTTTTTTTTATATCAGAAATAATGTTAAAACGCTGTACTGACACTGAATGACAGCCGAAGTGTTTAGGTTGGATCACGTGTTTAAAATGAAGTTATTGCTGATATTTTATATTTATGGATTTAGTTAAAACGGGCTTAGATTTCACAGAGTTAACAAGATGCTCCTGTGATTGCCAAGTCGAGAGCAAAAGTAACGCCAGGTAATTTTAGACGGCTTTTAACCACCCTATCCCCCCCCCCCCCTCTTTAAGCTCACGCATATCACGCAAAAAAACAGACCCGCTAAAATGGCTTCACATAGATCCACACACTTCTTACATAGCAAGAAATCTACTTCTAACACAAAACTTCAAAGAGCTTTTAATTTTTAAGAAATACAAAATGAGGGCTACATCACAAGAAAATGTAAACTACGTCACAAGAAAATGTAAACTACGTCACAAGAAAATGTAAACTTCGTCACAAGAAAACGTAAACTACGTCACAACAAAATGTAACACCGTCACATTAAAAGGCTAACGACGCCATAGCAAAAAAAAGTATAAACGACATCACAGCAAGGTGTAGGCTACGTCAGATTTGTTATAACCATATTCCCCACGTAGCGAATCGTCACAAAGGCAGGAATTCCTTGCAGATGTCAAACGTCATTTAATGGGACGGCGTTGACATTTTTTTTGTGACGTGGCCTACATTTTGTTGTGACGTGGCCTACATTTTGTTGTGACGTAGTCTCGAGTTCGAATCCGAGTTCAAGTCAGTGGATCGTCCCTGAGTCCACCAGCACTAATGGATACCCCCCCCCCCCGTTCCCACTTTTATAACGACCATCGTGTTTGGATGAACTGCAGAGTGGAGTGATATTTTTGTTGATCCTTAACCAAACGCTGGACGTTATCTCAAAAGCTTACGAGTAATTTCAACCGGATTTGTCTTAGGTAAAATTAACCATTTAAATTGCCTAGTAATGTTTTTAAAAAATTGGTCCAATTTAATTTATGCGAGTTGACCTTTGTACTGGGACGCTAGATTAGCCCCCCAACTTTTCTAATCAGCTCTCACTAATTAATTTCTCACATCCCAGCGATAGGCAGGATATATAGACAACAAAAGTTTAAGAAAAATATATTCGGGTTTTTAAGCTATTGTAACCAACAGCCTGATGATATTATAGTGCGTTTTAGTTGTGTGAATAGTTCAGACAAAAAGTCTGATGATTTTATTTTTATAGTGTTTTAGTTGTGTATATAGTTCAGACTATTGGATAATGATGTTAGGTAAGGTAGTGGGAAAAGGTGGATAAGGATGGTGGATACATATGGTGAATAAGGATGGTGGATAAGGATAGTGGAATAGGATGTTGGATCAGCGGCGTTGCTAGGTCGGGTGTCACCCAGTGCGGCACTTCGTGGTGTCAACCCCCCTCCGAAAAAACAAATTATATATATATATATATATATATATATATATATATATATATATATATATATATATATATATATATATATATATATATATATGTATATATATATATATATATATATATATATATATATATATATATATATATATATATATATATATATATATATATATATATATATACACATGTGTAGGTGTGTGAGTGTGAGTGTGTGAGTGTATGTATGTGTGTGTCGGCCTACATAGGCCTATAATAGGCCTATAATTTAAATATATGCCACATACGCGTACATGTATGTTTACTGCAGACTTAATAGTAACGATGTTTATCTATAGTATTTCTATAGTCTGTTATTAAAATAGTTGGATGTAGCATTGTTTTCTCTTAAGTTAGAACGTTTACGTCATGGTGTCACACCAACCCCATTAATTGTTATAATTAATATAATTGTCTATTTAATTTTGTACTTAAAAGACTATTTAACTTTAATTAATTATTAATTGAATTGGCAAAAAACGCATTTTTCTTCTGTAAATTTTGCATTTTTTTTTGCCTTGGTGTCACCCCCCTAAATGGTGTCACCCGGTGCGGCCCGCACCCCCCCCCCCCCCCCGCCCGCCCCGCCCTCGCTACACCTCTGTGTTGGATAAGGATGTTGGATACGGATGCTGGATAAGGATGGTGGATAAGGATTGTAGATAAGGATGGTGGGTAGTTTTGAACAGGTGACGAGTAGTGCATTGTTTCAGAAAGTATGTTACACCTTTGCATTTTAAAATTAAAAATTTAAGAACTGAAGTTAAATATTTCGCGTTTGTTAAAGATATCTTTGAAAATTTCTATAAAAGGTTGATAAAATTGGGGTGGTAGGTGAAATAAATGTGACGTTATTTAGGGGTCTAACATTTCGTGACGAATTAGTGACGAAGAAAAGGGGAACATGGGTCAAATAATCGCCAAAAATAGCGTAGCGTCCTCTATGGACAAATCTGAATGCTAAAGTGTAGGGCCTAGGGCCTAGGTCAAGTTTTTGTCTAGATCTAGAATCTAGATCTAGATTGCGTAGAAAATCTCCTGGCTTTGAAGTTTAAATGTCATACAAGGGAAATAATAATGATATTATCTTCAGAAAAGGCCAGCAACGTTTTTTTTAAAACATTGAATTTGACGTCCTAAACGTTTAGAGATAATATTTACTTATCTATCCAAAATTCTAATAGTAATACTTGATATTATGTAGATCTATATACCAGCCATTTAAGGTAACAGTGTCAGACTATGCTTATCACCATAAAAAATAAATAGGCCTATCTTTTTTTTTAGTCTAGTTTTGTACCGCTTCACGGCTTCTCACAGAGCCCAAAAGTTGGTCAGTGGCGAGGCTACTCTGTAATCTAGCGTAAGCAAGCCATAGGGGCCCGAGGCATTTAGCCATGATTTAGGGACCCTTTTCCCTCTTAAAAAAATTAAAACTTTTTACGTTGGAATTTTAAAATTTCTTTCATATAGGCCTAAACAATTTTAAAAATAAAATGAAAATTCTGTTTCTCTTCTAGATCTAGATCTATTGTTACTAATTATTGTAATTTGTAATTGTAGAAAGTAGAAATAATTAAAAGTTCCAAAAAGGCCCCAGTCTGTGTGTCAGTGGCATAGCTAGGATTTTCGGGCCCCTTTGCAAAAATTATCAGTGGGCCCCCTTCGTCAGCCTTTAGGCTACAATGGAGTTAAACGAAGAATTCAACTGTTACTTATGATGGAGAATTTAAAAAATAATAGGCCTATAGGGGCCTAATAAATATTCTGTAGGCTACATTTTATATTTTATATGTTGTGTCCGGATTGTGTTTATACTATATTAGTATGCAGTTTTGTAAAAATATTGCAGGCTTAAATAGGCTAATTTGTTTTTTTAAGTAAACAAACACAGTAGCGTCACAAGGCGGGGGCAGAATTGCGGTCCACATCGGATTACAGCATTCATGCATGACAAGACATTGTAAAATTTACTGTCAAAACTAAGTTGTATCCAGATAAAATAATAAAGATTAGCGAGAGAGGGTTAACACCCCTCGGAAAATGCAAAATTGTTGGGGACGATGGTGTGACACCTTTAGTTAACACGTAGGATAACACCCGACCTTGTGACGCTACTAACCAAACAGATTTTTTTTAAAAAAATTGCTCATGATTTATTTAGATCTGTTTTTTTAAATATTTTTCTTTACAGATCTGGGTCTAAAGGACCTAAGGCACAGAGAAGGCAGGTTAGTAGACTCTATATGAATAGAATAAGATCTAGCTTCTAATTAGAGCTGAAGTCAGTCACTACCCACTCACTTCACCACCTACTGAATTCTATTATGATTTATGCCTATACCTGCCCCATGGGCCTTAATGTTTGGAAGGGCACTTAAATTTTAAAAAGAATTATTAAATTATTATTTCTTTATTTCATCTGCAGTTATAAACAAATTAAAGAATTATACTGATAAATAATTATACAATGGATACACCACAAGTTCAGAGCCTACAGGATAATGGAAATAGAGAACAGGATGTTGATAAGATACAGATAACTGATGATGATGAAGATGATAATGACGTTGTTATCATGGATGAGAAGGAGGTGGAAGAGGCAGAAAAGGCAGCAACACATTTAACTTTGAGTGAAATATCAAAAGCAATAGAAGAGGCTAAAGAAATAGCAAAACAGACGGAGAAGGAGATCGAGTATATGAGTAGAGAGCTGGAGAACATGCAGGTACACTCAACTCAACCATTCTTTTTTAAGAAACTAAATTCAAACAAGTTTTTATTTTTAATTAACAGACATGCTTCAGAGTGAAAGTGGAAAAAAAAATTGCTAAATCTGTTAGCACTTTATGTGGAAAATAATAAGGTTAAACTTGGAGATGGTGGGGTATAGACCAATTATTAATTTGAAGTAATTTTTGTAATAAGCATGGGCGTTGTACTTTATTTTTTTTTCTTGGAGTTCCCATGACTGCTAATTTTATTGTAAAAATTAGGTTTGTATAATTTTGATTTACTTGTCTTACTTAGGGCCTTTGTTTTTTTATTTTAGATAAACAACATAAATTATAATTGATACATGAATATATCCCAGTCTTTACATTCTATAGCAGCTTGCTTTAAAAACTCTGAATATAAACCTTTGTCATGAGTAATTTATTTATGACAGCAGTTCCACTTAAGTATGTAGATAGAGTCAAAAAATGATATCCTGGCATACAGTCAATGTGTTCAGTTTATTCTTGTTTGAAAATTTAATTTCAGTGCAATTTGAGTGACACCGTATACAAAAGCCTGCAGTTTTTGGTTAATAACCCAAAGTGCCAGATCAATATTCCAATAGATGAGCCAACTTTGGACAAGATGATCAACAGTGTGTTGGAGAGCTTGCAGCCAGAGGACTGTGGGGATCTCACTGAGAATGAGTATCACAGGATCAATGACAAGCTGACCCTTCTTGAAAGTAATCCAAGCTTTCTATTTGTTAACTTTATGTGTAAACAATTTTGATTTAGTAGTTTTAGTTTTTTTTTTAAAATTTTTTTTTGATGAATACCTTTTTAGAGTAAATATTTGTTTTCATATTGTGTAGCTTTGTATAGTAAAAGTATAAAATACTAACCTATCTTTTAAAATTATTATTTCTAGATTAAAATTTAAAGTAATTTGATTGAATATCATATATCATTGTTCTAGGGGCTAATCAATCAGTTTCAAAGCTTTTCCTTGACTGCCATGCAAAACTCAAACAATTTAAACAAGGTCTTTTGGCTGAAACAGCAGAGGTGGAATCAAAGTATGTTTTATTTCAAGCTACTCTGAGAACTCTTTCTATCCTAAACCTTAGAAACATGTTTTACTAATTTTTACATTCTTTCTGTCATTTTGCTTAGAAAAAGTGTTAAACGTTCTTAGAATGTTATTTAGTCATTTTGTAAAACTTAATTTATTGTTTAGTAATTTTCATTTTAAAACTTAGTTAATCATTATATAGTTATCATTAGGAAAGGTAAATAGATATGTAAAATATGTTTTATACAACAATATGATTGCATTGGTAAGTTTGAACAAAAAACACATATGAAAAATAGATGAATGTTTGTAAAAAAATGGATTATGTGTACAGTTTTATTTGTCTTAGCATTGGCAAGTTTGGAAAACCCTATGATATATGTGTTGTGTGAACTTGTTTTCAATATGTTTATGTGTATGTCTTTATGTGTCTCTAGCATTGGCAAGTTTGGAAAACACCATGATACATGTGTTGTGTGAACTTGTATTCAATATGCTTATGTGTATGTCTTTATGTGTCTCTAGCATTGGCAAGTTTGAAAAAACCATGTCAGAAACCACCCTGCTGATTGACAGTGATGATGAAGATGCTAGCGCTGTCTCCATCATCAAATCATCCAAAGCTGTGCCACAGAGGTACGTCATCTTTTTATACCCAACTTTTATTCAGTTGCGTCAGGTTTTTATACCCAACTTTTATTCAGTAGTGCCACTTGCGTCAGGTTTTTATACCTAACTTTTATTCAGTAGTGGTCACTTGCGTCAGGTTTTTATACCCAACTTTTATTTAATAGTGTCACTTGCGTCAGGTTTTTATACACAACATTTATTCAGTAGTGTCACTTGCATCAGGTTTTTATACCTAACTTTTATTCAGTAGTGGTCACTTGCGTCTGGTTTTTATACCTAACTTTTATTCAGTAGTGGTCACTTGCGTCTGGTTTTTATACCCAACTTTTATTCAGTAGTGGTCACTTGCGTCAGGTTTTTATACCCAACTTTTATTCAGTAGTGTCACTTGCTCCAGGGCAGTGATGGTCTAGTTTTTGTCTACTGTTTGTCAATCTTTTAAACAAGTTGTAACATGAAAATGTACATGCTATATTTTTAAACTTATTCTCTAATTATAGAAAGTTTTAAAAAGTTATTCTTTGAGCCTGTTGGTCCATTATACCAGATAAGCTAGTTAAGTAAAGTTCCTTTTTGAGCCTGACTGTCCATGAGGCAAGTGAAGTAAATTTCACCTGTTTCTGGGACCATGGCTTATGAAGGGATGGTGTTGTCACATTTACTTTCACTAGCGTGAGTCAGGTACCGACCATAGCTGGGTGGATTCAGGGACTTCTAACTAACTGACTCAAGCCCAACTTGTAACTTTTAAGTTATCAACTGATCACACCATCCAATATTTTTTTTCGTATCAAGAATGAGTTGATTCACATTTTGTGATAAACTTATTTTCTAAATTATAAGAAAAATAGCTCACAAAGAATGAATTGATACATTTTTAATGATAAACTTATCTCCCAAGCAGCCAGGAACAGAACACACGGAGTGGGAAGACAACAGCTCCATCAGCCGTATCACCTCTACATCCTCAGCTACAGAGTGCTTTAGAATCTCCCTCCCTAGAACAGTTGCGATCTAATTTTGTCAGTGCTGTACACAAATCAATGCCTAATCTTATATCTAGTCTACAAAATCAACAGGTAATTATGCACAAATCAATGCCTAATCTCATATCTAGTCTACAAAATCAACAGGTAATTATGCACAAATCAATGCCTAATCTCATATCTAGTCTACAAAATCAACAGGTAATTATGCACAAATCAATGCCTAATCTCATATCTAGTCTACAAAATCAACAGGTAATTATGCACAAATCAATGCCTGATCTCATATCTAGTCTACAAAATCAACAGGTAATTATTGTTGCTGACTTAGTAAAATTCAGCCTGGGCCGTTAATTGCACAGATAAAGTAGTTCTTATTTGACCTGGGCAATGCTCAGCTGATTTGTTAGTTACACTTCAATGATTTGATCCAAAGCTGGGACACTGATTCAGAGTTTTGGGCTAGTTATTATAAGAAATCCTTTAAATTCATAAATTATTGTCATGCAATACCATAAAATGTCTGTTTAATGTTTAATTAGCATGTTTTCTCCATTAATTAGAGTTATTAAATTCATAAATTATTGTCATGCAATACCATAGAATGTCTGTGTAATGTTTAATTAGCATGTTTTCTCCATTAATTAGAGTTATTAAATTCATAAATTATTGTCATGCAATACCATAGAATGTCTGTGTAATGTTCAATTAGCATGTTTTCTCCATTAATTAGAGTTATTAAATTCATAAATTATTGTCATGCAATACCATAGAATGTCTGTGTAATGTTCAATTAGCATGTTTTCTCCATTAATTAGAGTTACGCAGAACCCCAGGCCCAGACACAAACATCCCAGGACAGTCAAACTGCGAGGTCAACCACCCTGCAAACGGCCAAGTGGTAAGTACTAGCACACAGTGTACCAGTGGACTTGTATAATTTATTTCTTGTTTTATCTATAGTTTCTTAAGTAGTTTATAAAAAATCTAATGTATTTGTTTAAGTGATGTATATAAAACATGATATCTATACAGAGATGATTGAAGTATTTACAATAGCTACAATTGATAGGGTTGCTCTCTCTCTCTTTACAGGCCAGAGCTCAAAGTTTCTGATAAATCTAAAGTATTTGTCTAAGTGATGTATATAAAACATGATATCTATACAGAGATGATTGAAGTATTTACAATAGCTACAATTGATAGGGTTGCTCTCTCTCTCTTTACAGGCCAGAGCTCAAAGTTTCTGATAAATCTAAAGTATTTGTCTAAGTGATGTATATAAAACATGATATCTATACAGAGATGATTGAAGTATTTACAATAGCTACAATTGATAGGGTTGCTCTCTCTCTCTTTACAGGCCAGAGCTCAAAGTTTCTGATAAATCTAAAGTATTTGTCTAAGTGATGTATATAAAACATGATATCTATACAGAGATGATTGAAGTATTTACAATAGCTACAATTGATAGGGTTGCTCTCTCTCTCTCTCTTTACAGGCCAGAGCTCAAAGTTTCTGATAAATCTAAAGTATTTGTCTAAGTGATGTATATAAAACATGATATCTATACAGAGATGATTGAAGTATTTACAATAGCTACAATTGATAGGGTTGCTCTCTCTCTCTCTCTCTTTACAGGCCAGAGCTCAAAGTTTCTGATAAATCTAAAGTATTTGTCTAAGTGATGTATATAAAACATGATATCTATACAGAGATGATTGAAGTATTTACAATAGCTACAATTGATAGGGTTGCTCTCTCTCTCTCTCTTTACAGGCCAGAGCTCAAAGTTTCTGATAAATCTAAAGTATTTGTCTAAGTGATGTATATAAAACATGATATCTATACAGAGATGATTGAAGTATTTACAATAGCTACAATTGATAGGGTTGCTCTCTCTCTCTCTCTTTACAGGCCAGAGCTCAAAGTTTCTGATAAATCTAAAGTATTTGTCTAAGTGATGTATATAAAACATGATATCTATACAGAGATGATTGAAGTATTTACAATAGCTACAATTGATAGGGTTGCTCTCTCTCTCTCTCTTTACAGGCCAGAGCTCAAAGTTTCTGATAAAGTTCTGGGAAAAAAATTCAATGATGTCTGGTACAGTGGAACCATTCTGGACATATACCCACCTTCTGAAGGCATAGAAGTAAGTCTTCCTGTGGCTTCATAAACAAACTATTATTTTAAAAATGTCATTTAAAAGTACTAGCAGTCATCTCCTCTGTATGATACTTTAGTAAGCTATAATGAAATGGATGAGATTTCTGTGTAGTAACTTCTGTATGATACTTCTGTAAGCTATGATGCAATGAATGAGCTTTCTGTGCAGTAACTTCTGTATGATACTTCTGTGAGCTATGATGCAATGGATGAGATTTGTGTGTAGTAACTTCTGCATGATACTTCTGTAAGCTATGGTGAAATGGGTGAGATTTGTGTGTAGTAACTTCTGTATGATACTTCTGTGAGCTATGATGCAATGGATGAGATTTGTGTGTAGTAACTTTGAGATCTGTTCAACAGTGGAGGTGTAAGGTCAAGTTTGATGGTAAAGGTCAGAAAGTTTTGCCTGGTAAACATGTCGCGTACAGGGAGCCAATCACATTTTTTATAAGAGTTGGAACACGTGTAGTGGGTGAGTTATTTCTGTTTGCTGCGATGTCTAAGTTCTAAACTTTTGCAAGTAAATAAACAATGTTACCATATTATTTAAAATATTTTGTTTTAAAAAAAATCTACATTATGGTCTTGCTATTCCATTTATCTTATGTGCCATTTTGATAGTTGTATAGAAGCAAAATGTAACTAAATTTCCTAATGTTACTACCAGGCTTTGATATTACTTTTAAAACCACAGAGAAGATAAACACATTATGTATAACTTAATACCACTTAGTTCAGAATATGGCATCATTAAGAGTTTATAAAGGTTACACAGATGAGTTATTGTTGTATTTAAATAATTAAATCACTTGGTTTAACAGCCACCATGTTAACTAAGTGTGGAGCATTTATTTCAGTGGGTTAAAGGGGCAGATGGTGCGCAATCACATTAATTTAATTTTCTTTTAAAACACTAAAATACGGTTAAAAAAAATCGAGAAAGATTGCTACTTGTTTTTCTGTTTTCCAACACTCAAATTAAACTGTGTAAGGTATATTGTAGACACAAAGAAAATGAATTGCCACTGATTTTGTTTTTTTACCAGCTTTATACAGGGAAGATGATGCACCCAGCTCTTTCTATGCTGGGGTCATTGCTGAGGCTCCAAGTATAAAGAACAACAGAAGGTATGGTTTACAATTTTAATACATTAGTAGATCAGTGTGAGAAATCATAAAATTGTTTTAATGTTTTAGCTATTTTTGTGTGTATCTGATGACATTGTGTTGTGTGTTTGAAATCAGATTCCTGGTGTTTTTTGATGATGGTTATGCCCAGTATTGCGATGCTAAAGAACTTCACAAAGTGTACATGCAGAGTGAGTAACATTTGATACTGCAACCATTTTAAAATGTTAGCTGTAATGTGGACGATAGTGAACCTAATTAAAAATTGTCTGATAAGGAGTAGGTGAATGTAGATATTTAGACCATTAACCTGAATAGTCTATTGGGATTGAAAGGAAACCAATTTTTATTTATTTAGATAACTAGCATTATAAGCTTATGTTTTTACAAATTTTTTTCAGTTGATAAGATCTCCTACAGATGACCCCTACCCCGCCCCTTTGAACAACCACTGTGTTGTAATGTAAACATATGGCATCATTTAGTGATGATAGCTGTAATATTTTTCCCTTTAATGGCTGCTACTTGTTTGATTTGCAGGTGAAAATGTATGGGAGGATATCAACCCTGATACAAGTGCCTTTATTAAAGAATATTTGCGCATTTATCCAGAGGTAATCCAAAACATTGAACTATTGTTATCAATTGTTTTTATTACTCAATGTTTAACACTTACTTAAAACTAGCCAGTGAAGTCTTAAATTTTTCTTTATCCCATCTGTTAGAGACCAATGGTGAGGCTATCTAAAGGACAGGTGGTGAGAACAGAGTGGAATGGAAAATGGTAATGTTTCACCTTTACAGCTTGCTTGGTTTAGGTTTTCTTTGTACAGTCATTGTTCTGTTCATATAAAGAAAAACTATGATAAAAATGTTTAAAAATGTGATAGAATCATTTGAAGCTGTTGTTAATCTTTGTTTGAAGCTGTTGTTAATCTTTGTTTGAAGCTGTTGTTTATCTTTGTATGAAGCTGTTGTTTATTTTTGCTTGAAGCTGTTGTTTATCTTTGCTTGAAGCTGTTTTTTTATCTTTGCTTAAAGCTGTTGTTTATCTTTGTTTGAAGCTGTTGTTTACCTTTGTTTGAAGCTGTTGTTTATCTTTGTTTGAAGCTGTTGTTTATCTTTGATTGAAGCTGTTGTTTATCTTTGTTTGAAGCTGTTGTTTACCTTTGTTTGAAGCTGTTGATTATCTTTGTTTGAAGCTGTTGTTTACCTTTGTTTGAAGCTGTTGTTTACATTTGCTTGAAGCTGTTGTTTATCTTTGTTTGAAGCTGTTGTTTACCTTTGTTTGAAGCTGTTGTTTATCTTTGTTTGAAGCTGTTGTTTACCTTTGTTTGAAGCTGTTGTTTATCTTTGTTTGAAGCTATTGTTTATCTTTGTTTGAAGCTGTTGTTTATCTTTGCTTGAAGCTGTTGTTTATCTTTGCTTGAAGCTGTTGTTTACATTTGCTTGAAGCTGTTGTTTATCTTTGTTTGAAGCTGTTGTTTACCTTTGTTTGAAGCTGTTGTTTATCTTTGTTTGAAGCTGTTGTTTACCTTTGTTTGAAGCTGTTGTTTACATTTGCTTGAAGCTGTTGTTTATCTTTGTTTGAAGCTGTTGTTTATCTTTGTTTGAAGCTGTTGTTTATCTTTGTTTGAAGCTGTTGTTTATCTTTGTTTGAAGCTGCTGTTTATCTTTGTTTGAAGCTGTTGTTTATCTTTGTTTGAAGCTGTTGTTTATCTTTGTTTAAGCTGTTGTTTATCTTTGAAGCTGTTGTTTATCTTTGTTTGAAGCTGTTGTTTACCTTTGTTTGAAGCTGTTGTTTATCTTTGTTTGAAGCTGTTGTTTACCTTCGTTTGAAGCTGTTGTTTATCTTTGTTTGCAGCTGTTGTTTACCTTTGTTTGAAGCTGTTGTTTATCTTTGTTTGAAGCTGTTGTTTACCTTTGTTTGAAGCTGTTTATCTTTGTTTGAAGCTGTTGTTTATCTTTGTTTTGAAGCTGTTGTTTATCTTTGTTTGAAGCTGTTGTTTACCTTTGTTTGAAACTGTTGTTTATCTTTGTTTGAAGCTGTTGTTTATCCTTGTTTGAAGCTGTTGTTTATCTTTGTTTGAAGCTGTTGTTTATCTTTGTTTGAAGCTGTTGATCTTTGTTTGAAGCTGTTGTTTACCTTGTTTGAAGCTGTTGTTTATCTTTGCTTGAAGCTGTTGTTTATCTTTGTTTGAAGCTGTTGTTTATCTTTGATTGAAGCTGTTGTTTACCTTTGTTTGACCGCAGGTGGACTGCCAAAGTTCAAGAGACAGATGCCAGTCTTGTGAAGATGTACTTCCAGGCAGACAAGAGAACAGAGTGGCTGTATAGGGGCTCTACTAGGCTAGAGCCTCTGTTTAGAGCTTTGGTAGGCTTTAGGTTTAGCAAGAGAACTGGCTGTATAGGGGCTCTACTAGGCTGGAGCCTCTGTTTAGAGCTTTGGTAGGCTTTAGGTTTAGCAAGAGAACAGAGTGGCTGTATAGGGGCTCTACTAGGCTAGAGCCTCTGTTTAGAGCTTTGGTAGGCTTTAGGTTTAGCTAGAGAACAGAGTGGCTGTATAGGGGCTCTACTAGGCTGGAGCCTCTGGTTAGAGCTTTGGTAGGCTTTAGGTTTAGCTAGAGAACTGGCTGTATAGGGGCTCTACTAGGCTGGAGCCTCTGTTTAGAGCTTTGGTAGGCTTTAGGTTTAGCTCAACACTAATGTATCTGTTTTAAATGTTAGTGAAATATCTGGTAGGCTTCATGTCTAGCTCTACACGAATGTATCTGTTTTAAATGTTAGTAAAATATCATTTGAGACCTGCTGGTTCTTGAGACTGATGAAGTAGAGTTCATCTGCTTCTGTGAACTTAGCATAGAAACAGATGTGGCCAGCACAAAGCTCACCGTCACATCATATGATCTTTAGCTCTGGCATTGAACTCCAGTACTGTGGGCTAGTACCCATATTCTCTACCACTCAACCATGCAGCGTCACAGCTTAAATTCGTTAGCTGACTCACCAGCTACTTAAAAAATGTTTAGACTTGCATGTCTGGTTATTTCTCTCCCTGTAGGCCAATGCTGATGCCATTAAAACAGCGGGCAGTGCCAAAGGACGTAGACACAACCTGAACATGAGGCCATCTGATGACCTCCAGAAACCCTCTGTAGAGTACACACGGGGGGCAGTGGATGAAGACAGCAGTTCCTCTTCTAAAGGTATGTTAGTTTTTACTCTCTGGCTGGGGAAGGTTGGTTGGTAATATCAAAGTCTGATTAAGGCTTATGATTTGTCATTGCAAAAACGGCCTGTGAAAATATTTGGGCAGATAATTGAATAGGATCCATATGCATTCATAATTTTGGCTCAGGCTAGGGACAGTTCAGCAGTTGTTTGTTTATTCACTGTACTTACACATTTTGTTTTTAAACAGCTTTATGGGAATGTATTCAACTTGAAAAATTTGTTTTGTTTTGAGATAGTCTTCATTGAGCTCAATAAGTTGGAAATAAGAAGGATAATTTTGTTGGTCAAAATTTTAAAAATATTTCCTATACCTAGTCAAAAAAAATGTCCGACCCCTGTTTTATTGAGTCAAAATTTAGCTTTTACTAATTTTGATCAAACTAGCTAATTTTATAACACTGGCTTTTAGTTTCTGTTTAATAATTTGTAACGTTCTTTTAAAAATTAGTTTAATCGTGAAAAAATTATTTGTCTATCAGCTAAATCATCTGGTCGTACTTCTGAAGCAACTAAGAAAAAATCCAATGTGGCAAAGAAGAGTACAGGTGGTTCTGTTGACACCAGCGATGCATCAAAATCTGGCCAGTGGGAGGCACCATGGATCAAATATCAAAGGAAAGCTACCCCTGGCAGCCAGAGGTCACTGAGTACAGACTCCGCATCACAGGACTCGGATAAAACAAACAACAGAGGTATTTTTTTTTAAGCAGCATTGTTTTTTTAGAAAGACGTTATGTATTTTAGGCTTTTGTTTTGCTTATTCACTGCTAAATCCGTTCCCTAAACTTGCCCCAAGTCATGACCCTGATCCTAACCCTGAACCTACCTGTGACACAGACAGAAAAAACTGACAAGAATCCACGCCTCTCTTTATTTATACATTTTTTCTAGATATTTAATATTTTTGTACTGATGTAGTGTATTATGTCAGCAGAAAAGCGTCAGTCCCATAAAGAAGGAAACAATAAAAGCAGTAAAGACATTGCCAGTGTTTTACAAGAGAGGCTAGCCCAGGTGGAATATGATGAGGAGCAGGCTACTGGGGAGAGAAGGGAGATTATGCTGGACACAAAGGACAGAGTTCGTGTCCCTTACAGTCAGTAGCCCTATTCATTTTATGACTTTTTTTTCTTCATGGTTGATTTAATTAAATAAATTCATACAGTTTTAATAATGTATATGCATGTATTAATTTTATTATCTACTTTGAATGCTTCATCATTAATGTATTGCAAGCATAACAACCATAGTAAATTTTAGCATATTTATTCATGGTATTAAATGTTGTATACATGCACAGAGAATAGACCTCATATACTGGTGCGCGGACCTTTGACCACAGGTGCTTTGACCATAGGGGGTTTGACCATAGGGGGTTTGACCACAGCGGAGCTTTGACCATAGGGGCTTTGACCATAGGGGGTTTGACCACAGCGGGGCTTTGACCATAGCGGTGCTTTGACCATAGGGGGTTTGATCATAGGGGGTTTGACCATAGGGGGTTTGACCACATGTGTTTTCTAAGCAGAGGGTCTTTGATCACAGGTGGTCTATCAACTGGTGTTTGATCACAAGCGCTGTGTCCGGCTTTGATCATAGGTGTGATACAATTAACACGATTTTATACATGTTTCCTGAGAGTACGTTAATAGAAATTAACATGTATTTAAAAAGCCAAGAACTATATTTTAGTCTCCACATAAAGGCTGGTGCTAGGCCTCATAGATTTATTTTAAATATAAATGAAACACAAATAATGCGACATATAACAAGTTTCACAAATAAATAACGTAGATGTACTTGAAAATACATAGCATATATAAAGGATTAAGCTCTCCTATAATAACAAGATCTTGTGCAACTATTAAAGCTTTGCACTTACAAGTGCAATTCTTCGTACACCGCCAAACGCGTGACCCGTCCTAGCGTTCTCTGTGTAGCCAAAACTCGTGGCCACGATACAACAAAGTTCTTTTACCTTTTTTCGACGTGCTATACTCTCCAAGATTCTCCATGGTTTTGACATAGAGTAGTTTAGATGACTTGTATTTATACATGATAACAAACTACCTGAGATCAAAGACCCTATGTGGACAAAACACCTATGATCAAAGCCGGACGCAGCGCTTGTGATCAAACACCAGTTGATAGACCACCTGTGATCAAAGACCCTCTGCTGAGAAAACACATGTGGTCAAACCCCCTATGATCAAACCCCCTATGGTCAAAGCACCGCTATGGTCAAAGCCCCGCTGCGGTCAAACCCCCTATGGTCAAAGCCCCTATGGTCAAAGCTCCGCTGTGGTCAAACCCCCTATGGTCAAACCCCCTATGGTCAAAGCACCTGTGGTCAAAGGTCCTAGGACCCATATACTGAGGTCACAGCAACAGATGAAATCTCCTTCATCCTATCCATTGTCTGTTGAATAACACAGTGTAGTTGGGGGGTCGGCGTGGTCGAGTTGGTAAAAGCTCATGGTTGCTAAACCGAAAAGTCTCGAGTTTGAACCCTCGGGCAGATGAGGCTCGTTAGCTGGGGACAGCCACTCTTCTAGGAGAGACAACTCCAAAATTAAACAACTGATGCCTTGTAGTTTGTTCTTGGTTGGACAAAGGCTATGGAAGCAAATCCAAAAAGAAAAGCAGGCTGAAATCGGAGTCAATGGCCTCAAAGGCGCATAACCAGTTGACACGTACCGCTTAATTGTGTTGGAGGCGTGGTCGAGTCGGCAAAAAGCTCATGGTTGATAAATTCGAACAAAGTCTCGAGTTCAAACCCACTGGCAGATAAATCTCGATCCCCTTCAACACTATTTAATTAAGAACAAAGAAGAAGATATAAATGTATATGCATGTATTAATTTTAATATCTATTTGGATTGCTTCATCATTAATGTTGGTCATTGCAAGCATAACAACCATCGCAAATGTTAGCAATTTTATTCATGGTATTAAATGTTGTACACATGCACAGAGAATAGACAGTGTGGTGAAGTGATAGAGCCTCCTGTTACTAACCCAAAGGTTGAGTTTATAACATGGGTTTGAGGCCATCCTGCTCTGATATGTACCTGCCTTTAGCCTGGGAAAGGAACTAGCTGACCACACAATCCCTTCATATACTAAGGTCACAGAAACATGAAATCTCCTTCATCTTCCACATTGACTGTCTTGTCTGTTAAATAACACAGTGTAGTCGCCATCCTAGTTTTTAGACTTTGTCGTTATTTCAGCATTGCACGAGTGTGGTCCAAAATGTGTGGAGGAATATAATGATTTAGACAAGTTCAAAGGTCGAAGTTCACATCTTAAACCACTGCTGTGTGGCTGGGAAAGGTGACAGCTTTAAATACCCACCAATAGATTGTTTTTCTTGTCTTTAGTCATGATTTTAAAATTATGTTTTAAAAATGAAATTTATAGTTTACAATTTTTATTTTTTTTTAAATTGTAAATGTTGTAGTGTTAAGACATCTGACTACAAAATGTGTTCATCTTGTTTGTATGTTCTGGATATTTTTAGCTTTTTTTTCATTCCTTTTTTTTTAGTTAATAATTTCTTTTAAACCTAGTTGTGACTATTTTACGTTAAACCTTGTTTTAGACAAGTCTGTAAGATGAGGCCAACCAGCAAACGGTACGTGATCTACCGATCTCCGTGTGGACGCAGACTGCGTAACCTTGCAGAAGTGGACAACTACCTGTACCTGACCGACTCCCAGCTGACCATTGACTTGTTTTGTTTTGACCAGCAGCTGCACGTTAACACAGAGTTTGTTCCTGTCAAGGTAAAATTTTTTTAATGCTTTCTGTGTAAAAAGATTTCCACTATCATATTGCTGGTATTTTATAAAAATTGTTTCAGCAAAGAAGTTTAACTTTTGCTTACTGTTTATTTACTAACTTGTTTAAAGAAATAGTAGAATTGATAGAACTTTTGCTAAGATTTTTCCGTTATTCACTGGTTTAAATTTTGTACAGACCTTCTGTGATATCAAGGACATGTCCTATGGTAAAGAAAATGTGCCGATATCATGTGTGAACGGAGTGGACCGCCACTACCCAGACTACCTGGAGTACTCAGTTCAACGCACCCCGTCCACAGGGGTCAACCTCAACCTTGACCCTGACTTTCTTGTTTGTTGTGACTGCACTGATAACTGTCGGGTAAGAAAACATTCATCCCCTAAAGCTGTAGCTTTGGAAAATATATTGGTTTTGTGAGTGCTTTTTTGCTTGTAGGGTTAAGGTCAGGATTGGGAAAAATATGTAAAGAAATTGATACTTGCAAAATTAATAGCTTTGTTTTGACCTACTCGTATTTTAAATGCTGTTTTTTTTTTTAATTTTTTAAATTTTAATCCCATAAAGGTTTAAAATTAACAGCTGTTTTAAAACATCAGCGTATAAATTAATTTAGTTAAAAAACTACAGACTTGCATTCTTTTTTAAGTAATATCATACTTTTTTGTTAATATTTATATTACTCTTTTATTTCTCAGGATTGCAGCAAATTTTGTAATAACTATATCAAACATGTTTATTTTAGGATCACAGCAAATTTTGTAATAACTTTATCAAACATGTATATTTTAGGATCGCAGCAAATGTGCATGCCAGCAGATGACTATTCAAAACACTTCATGTATAGGGGAAGTAGATCCTGATGCTGGCTATCTGTTTAAGAGATTACCTGAACCACTCTTTACAGGGTAAGTCACACTTATCCAGCCTACATCATTTTATTTACTCTAATTCAATTTTTCTTTCACCTTGGAGAATCAAAGCAACTGATATTTTGACAAAGAAGAAAATTTACCTAATTAATTTTTGTTACTGTTTATTAGCAATGAATACAAGTGATTTTTTTTTTCTTCAGAATTAACTATAAGAAAAATAATTTTTAATACCTTAATGTTTTTTAATTTTTTTAAAACTGGAGAACTAAAAAATCAGTTGCCACAGTTCTAGCAATTTAATAGTTGTATGCTATCACTCATGGAAGTTTTTGGTATAGTTGTAACAAATTTTTCATGCTTCAAAAAAAAAAGTAATATATACACATTAAAACTGTCGACAATGACAATTTTCCTAGTGGATCTGTCTAATATAGATCTTTACCTAGACTGTCTCCACGCCACACATTAACCCTCCCCTAAAATGTTTGAATCCCCAGGATTGTAGAGTGTAACTCAAGGTGTCAGTGTGACAGACGGTGTGCCAACAGAGTGGCTCAACATGGGTTGACTACCAGGCTACAAGTTTTTAAAACAGAAAAAAAGTTAGTATTTTCTACCTTTAACACTTGGTGATCTTTGTAGGTTATAAAGTAGATTGTGGGGTTACTACATAGTACAACGGTCAGATTGTTTGTTATGTAAGACTTAAAGACCAAAGCCAAATTTCCATTAAGAATTGGAACTTATGGGTTAACAAAAACCCACTTAAGCCTAGAAGTAAAAGGAAGTAATGCAAGTACAAAATAGTGTGTGTGTGTCTTCTAAGTTGTCACTTCTCATACAAGATAGGCACCTTATTGTTCATTGAAAAATTGAGCTGAAATGTTTATTCTAAAAAGTAACTAGTATTTGATATAAACAAGCTCTAACATGTCTCAAACTATCTACCAGAGGCTGGGGACTAAGATGCTTAGACGACATAGCTAAGGGCAGCTTCATATGTATATATGCTGGTCAGCTGTTAACAGACAAGGGAGCTAACGAGGTACATTCTAAAAAATATTTGTGTCTAATGTATTTTTGTTCTGCTTACCATGTTTTGTAATCTCCAGTGCTGGGAGAGTTTATTTTAGAACCTTTAAATCTTAGTGGTCAAGAACAATTCTCAGTAAAAAAATTAATCACTCCACAAAAACTTCCTGTTTGTTTGTTAGATATAGAAATATGAGTTGAAATCCTACATTGTTAAAACTAATTTGGTTGATTATCAGGATGCTAAATCTTATGGGGCTAATGTAGAAATTAATTGACCATCTTAAATGGGATGGTAAGACTTATGGAATAAACCGGGAGTAATCTCCCCTAAACTTTCGCGAATATTCTTATATGAAACAACGGGATGGCAACTCGGGATATAGACATGATTTTTAATCCATTTTAAATACTTAAACTTTTTAAAATAGAATAAAATCTCTTAGAAAAAAGAATTGCACATAGTGAACGCCAAATAAAATGTGCATAATAGTGCGGAATATTATTAGTACTTTATAAATTCACATGAGTTTTTTTGAGGAATCTGAAACAGCGAAAATTACTTCTTCTGGTCAACGGAAATTACTCAAAATTTGACAGAAGGCAGAGAATTAGAGAATCTTCGATTTTGATATAATACTTATATATGAAATTTCATACACCTAGCTTTAACGGTACTCAAGTTATCGTGTTTACACACAGACACACATACACACACACAGACATACGGACAAGATTGCAAAACTATATTTTTCCGACTCAGGGAGCTGTAAAAAATTGTTTTTTTTGCACGATTACAAGACTTTCTCTATACTTCGTATATATACGAGAAAGTAAAAAAGTGTAAAAATTAATTGCCCCTACTGTACAGGATGTTAACACATGGGGATGATGTAAAAATTAGTTGCCTCTATGATGATGTAAAAATTAGTTGCCCCTATTGTACAGGATGTTAACACATGGGGATGATGTAAAAATTAGTTGCCTCTATGATGATGTAAAAATTAGTTGCCCCTATTGTACAGGATGTTAACACATGGGGATGATGTAAAAATTAGTTGCCTCTATGATGATGTAAAAATTAGTTGCCTCTATGATGATGTAAAAATTAGTTGCCCCTATTGTACAGGATGTTAACACATGGGGATGATGTAAAAATTAGTTGCCTCTATGATGATGTAAAAATTAGTTGCCCCTATTGTACAGGATGTTAACACATGGGGATGATGTAAAAATTAGTTGCCTCTATGATGATGTAAAAATTAGTTGCCTCTATTGTCCAGGATGTTAACACATGGGGATGATGTAAAAATTAGTTGCCTCTATGATGATGTAAAAATTAGTTGCCTCTATTGTACAGGATGTTAACACATGGGGATGATGTAAAAATTAGTTGCCTCTATGATGATGTAAAAATTAATTGCCCATATTGTACAGGATGGTAAGACTTATGGGGATGATGTAAAAATTAATTGCCCCTATTGTACAGGATGGTAAGACATATGGAGACGAGTACCTGGCTGAACTGGACTTTATTGAAGTGGTGGAGAGACAGAAGGAAGGCTATGAGAGTGATGTGGAAATAGACTTCTCAGATGAGGATAACAACGCTAAAGAATCTGATGATGACAGGTAAGTTCTCACCTGGCTGGTACATGTTCACTTTAAAAAAATACACTAGACCATATTTGTACAAATATATTTATTTTAATATGCCATATGTGAATATATACTTATAATTTTAATATCATCAATTTGCAAAAGTATTATAATTTTAATATGCTCCATGATCATAAATATAATAATAGTCTAAATATATCCCATTGTTATTTGTTGTAGTGATTACATGCAAACTGGCAGTCCACCTGACCCCAACAGTCATAGGTAATTTTATTTGATCTATTTGCTTAATTATTTATGTATTGGAAGTTACTTTATGCCTTTGATTATTACCCCTATGTAATGAGCTAAAAATGGCTGACAGCTGTAAAGGTGAAGAAAATTGTCTTTCTGTTGTAGGAAGCTGAGGAAGAGAAAAGCTGCCCAAGAAAAAGCTAAAAAATCTGAAGAAGAAACAAAGATGTAAGTCAGTTTTGAGCTAAACCCACACAATCCAGATCTGTACACCCTCACAGTTACTCCAGCCAAACCATTGATCTCATCTAATGAGTAGTCAGACATATTTTTAAAAATTAATTACAAACTAAATGAAAACTATGGGTTTGAAATTCATGATGTGTTAGTTCATTCTTTATGTAGACTACATTATATAACTAACCCATGCTACCAACTAACAAAAATTTATAACAAGAATAATGTTTTATAAGTGAGTCAGAACTTTGAAAAGGGAGATTAGTACTATTGAAACCTTGTGTTGTTGATCGGACTAACTCCCATCTGCTGTTAATGGTTTAGCGCTGAGTCAGCAAAAGAGGATACAACAGTCAGTCAACCCATCAACATCTCTGATGATGAGGATGATGAAGAGGAGGATGAAAGTGAATCTAAAAAGGAAAAGAAAGAAGAGAAGCCTGAAACTGATACCATAGATAGTAAGAAACCATTTGAGATGTTTGTATTTCAGCCTTCACTTCTTCTATCTGCAGTAAAAGTGTTATGCATGTATTGCAGATGAAATTTATATTTTTTGTTAACTTGATTTTGTATCAAATAATTTTTCCCAGTTACCAAAAAACTGAGAAGTCGAGCAAAGAAGAGTACAGGTGGCTCTAGATTTAATTTGTCTACAACATATCACCAGGGGCAGGAACCTGTGCCAGAAAAAGGTAGATAACTGAATATTATCTCATGTTTTTTTTTCATGTTTAGTACAGCTTAGCTTGACACTTTGCTTGACACTTTTGTCTTAATTTTTGTCTTACTTTTATTTTATATTTCTTTCCCTTGACTTAATTGACTTTGATGACAATTTATCCTCTTTATCACTGGTGACTCTGCTAGACTCTCATTATTTCCCCCTCCCAGCTCAAGTTATCACCATTTACCCAAGTTATCTCCCTTTCCTGTAGTTATTCCCCCTTGGCTCCAATTATCCCCCTTGACTCTAGTTATTCCCCCTTGGCTCCAATTATCCCCCTTGACTTTAGTTATTCCCCCTTGGCCCCAATTATCCCCCTTGGCTCCAATTATCCCCCTTGACTCACATTCTATCCCTGTTCTGTGCTACCAGCAGGGGCAGCACCAGAGAAAAAAGAAAGGATACCCACCAGGATGTACTTCAGGGACGACACTGAGTGCTACATCATGGATGCCAAATCTATGGGCAATCTTGGGCGATATCTCAATGTAAGTTTCTCATTACATCCATAGTTACTTAAACAGGTTAGTCGAACTGACTACTGTTATAACTGTCTCATGACCTAACCCAACTGACCACCTCTCTCATGACCTAACCCAACTGACCACCTCTCACATGACCTAACTCAACTGACCATCTCTCACATGACCTAACCCAACTGACCACCTCTCACATGACCTAACCCAACTGACCACCTCTCACATGACCTAACTAACCTGACTACCTCACAGATGACCTAACCCAACTGACCACCTCTCACATGACCTAACCCAGCTGACCACCTCTCACATGACCTAACCCAACTGACCACCTCTCACATGACCTAACCCAACTGACCACCTCTCATATGACCTAACCCAACTGACCACCTCTCACATAACCTAACCCAACTGACCGCCTCTCACATGACCTAACCCAACTGACCACCTCTCACATGACCTAACCCAACTGACCACCTCTCACATGACCTAACTGACCTGACTACCTCACAGATGACCTAACCCAACTGACCACCTCTCACATGACCTAACCCAGCTGACCACCTCTCACATGACCTAACCCAACTGACCACCTCTCACATGACCTAACCCAACTGACCACCTCTCACATGACCTAACTGACCTGACTACCTCACAGATGACCTAACCCAACTGACCACCTCTCACATGACCTAACCCAGCTGACCACCTCTCACATGACCTAACCCAACTGACCACCTCTCACATGACCTAACCCAACTGACCACCTCTCACATGACCTAACCCAACTGACCACCTCTCACATGACCTAGCTGACCTGACTACCTCACAGATGACCTAACCCAACTGACCACCTCTCACATGACCTAACCCAGCTGACCACCTCTCACATGACCTAACCCAACTGACCACCTCTCACATGACCTAACCCAACTGACCGCCTCTCACATGACCTAACCCAACTGACCACCTCTCACATAACCTAACCCAACTGACCGCCTCTCACATGACCTAACCCGACTGACCACCTCTCACATGACCTAACCCAACTGACCACCTCTCACATGACCTAACTGACCTGACTACCTCACAGATGACCTAACCCAACTGACCACCTCTCACATGACCTAACCCAGCTGACCCCCTCTCACATGACCTAACCCAACTGACCACCTCTCACATGACCTAACCCAACTGACCACCTCTCACATGACCTAACCCAACTGACCGCCTCTCACATGACCTAACCTAACTGACCACCTCTCACATGACCTAACCCAACTGACCACCTCTCACATGACCTAACCCAACTGACCACCTCTCACATGACCTAACCCAACTGACCACCTCTCACATGACCTAACCCAACTGACCACCTCTTACATGACCTAACCCAACTGACCACCTCTCACATGATCTAACCCAACTGACCACCTCTCACATGACCTAACCCAACTGACCACCTCTTACATGACCTAACCCAACTGACCACCTCCCACATGACCTAACCCAACTGACCAACCCTCACATGACCTAACCCAACTGACCACCTCTCACATGACCTAACCCAACTGACCACCTCTTACATGACCTAACCCAGCTGACCACATGTCACATGACCTAACCCAACCGACCACTTCTCACATGACCTAACCCAACTGACCACCTCTGACATGACCTAACCCAACTGACCACCTCCCACATGACCTAACCCAACTAACCCACCTGACCACCTCTCACATGACCTAACCCAGCTGACCACATGTCACATGACCTAACCCAACCGACCACTTCTCACATGACCTAACCCAACTGACCAACCCTCTATCATTACAGCATAGCTGCAGTCCAAATGTTTTTGTCCAAAACATTTTTGTTGACACACATGACCTCAGGTTTCCATGGGTGGCATTTTTTGCTGGACAGTAAGTTTCATCTTTTTCTATAAGTATCATCTATTTGGTAGCAGTAAGTTTCAATTTTGTTCTCTATCTAGCTGTAGGCTATAGTAAGTTAGTTTTGTTTTCTAGTCAGTTTGTCATTTTATCATTAATATTACTGTAAATTTTTGTCTTTTTGTATATCACCCACTGGCTAAGAAAAGTTAATTTAAAAAAAAATTTCAGTTGTTTAAAAGTGGGGTTTTTAGAACTATTTTTTATGCAACATAGCTCAGAGTTGCACTAGTGTCAATTTTATTGGTTTATTTTCTGACAGCATTTAGATTTTGAACTGTGTACTTGTCATGTGTACTAAGGTGTTGACCTGCTTTTGTGTGTGTACTGATAGTCTTGTGTGTGTGTACTGTCTGTGTGTACTTATAGTCTTGTCTGTGTACAGGTACATCAGGGCAGGTACAGAACTCACCTGGGACTACAACTACGAAGTTGGCAGTGTACCTGACAAGGTGCTCTACTGTTACTGTGGTTCAGCCACATGTAGAGGGAGACTACTCTAGGTTTATGTTTACAAAATGTTGTTTGGTTTGTATAAAAGTTCGCTTCTATTCTGGAGAATCAAGCCCAAAGAATTGTCTTTCTTACTGGCTGAATTCTGCTAGAAATTCTTTAAAAAAATATATTTTAAAGCTATTGATGTAACAATTTTGTTTCTTTATCAGCATTGACCAGATCATATTTTTTAAATGTTTGATAGTGGTTCTAGTTAACTATGTTCTCTAAAAGATTTGTTTTGCTCATGTAGTTGTACAAAAATATGTCTTGTAAATAAAATTTGTAACTTTGTATGTTTTATATTAAATCAAATTGAGCTTAAAATATTTTCTATTTGTCCTGAAGTGGGAAAATTCAAATTTTTTAACTATAAATGAACTGATTTCAAACAGGAACTTGTCAAATATTTCATTAACATCTCAGATCCTGAGACAGTAACACATTGAATCACAAAATGTTAACACAAGCAGGGCAATATAACTAATAACCAATTGATAATGTGCTGACAATGTTAACACAAGCAGGGCAATATAACTAATAACCAATTGATAATGTGCTGACAATGTTAACAGGGGCAGGGAAATATAACTGTAATAACCAATTGATAATGTGCTGACATCAGATTTTATTCAAATAAAAGCTCAGTTTAAAAAAAAAACAATACAAAATACAAAACTTGGATTTTCATAAGATTTGTGGTGTTAATAAATAAATTCTTGTTGAGATTCAAGGTTGAGAATCTTTGGTACAAGGGGCGTCAATGTTGTATTTCCAGTCACAGTAGCCTTGTTTCTCATTGAACAACAATGCTGGATAGAGGAAACAAAATAGTGTATTTATTATCTTGTAGACTGCTGGCATTGTGAGCTGTCTCATTTGATTTCACTCAATTTTGGATTGCAAAATTAATTAGTAGTAAAATGGACCCCTGATTATGCTACGAATACAACAAACTTCACTGTAGTTTTGTAATTGCATCATAGTATAATATATATTTGAAGGCCTATTCTTTATTATTATTCCATACAGAAAGCGTTGAATTTTCTCGTTTTGCTAAAGACCTAAATTGGAATCAAACTAGAGTTATTTTTCTACCGTCTTACTAAAGTTACTTGCAAACAGGTATAAGAATGTAGCAAAATGTAACTTACGTTTACCGCAGTACTGTCTGCCCATGAACTGTCCGTTGAGGCAAGTAATGTATGACTCACAGGTGGCGTCACCGTATGTCCCATCCTTACGGCCTAAGCAGACGGCCTCTTTACCACAGTACGTGGTGGTTGTTACAGGACTGAGAACATAACAGGAATATTGTAGGGGTTCAACGATTGTAAGGGGTTCAACAATTGTAGGGGTTCAACAATTGTAAGGGGTTCAACATTTGTAGGAGGTTCAACAATTGTAGGGGGGGGGGTTCAACAATTGTAGGAGGTTCAACAATTGTATGTTGGGGGTTCAACTATTGTAGGGGGTTCATCAATTTTATGTCAGGGGTTCAACAATTGTAGGGGGTTCAACAATTATAGAGGGTGAAGAGATAAACAATTTAAACACAAAATCTGGTTAGACTATGTCATATCAGGAATCTGGTTTGATAATTTTATATCAAGTGTTAACAATTTCATAATAGGAGTAATAATCTATTTTTAGTAGTTAAATCAACTTTATATCAGGATTCGAACACTTTTTATACCTAGTTTTAAACAATTTTTTATAATGAGAGGGGAGGCTATAAATCAATAACTATCAGCAGTGTGGTTAAGCAAGTTACCCGCCTTGTAGATGTAGATGGTATCAACTTACTCAACACATGTCATGTTCTCACGGTCCAAGACCTCAGCCCCCGGGCACGTGTGTTTGACCAAAGTTCCGTTAGAGCAGGCGTAGTAGCCCCAGCAGCCGATCTCTGCCACCCAGCCCTCCTGTCTGTTTCTGCAGACGGCATCCTCAGCATTCCCTGGGGACAAAAGTATTCATTAATTTTAGTTGTGTTACGAAGATACACCTGAAAGATCTCATTTATTGCCATCATACACCCATATTTTTTATTTTGGTCTTATATCGAGCCTGTGCTATAGAAATATATCTCCGTGATCTTACGAGTTTAAGTTGCTTCTTACATTCAGCATCTTCACAAACAGAAATATGTAAATAAAACAAGCTGGCCGTCATTCTGCAACAACAACCGACATCACAAATCAACCATACCAACTACCACACCAACTACCACACCAACTACCACACCAACTACCGCACCAGCTATCACACCAACTACCACACCAACTACCACACCAACTACCACACCAGCTACCACACCAACTAAAACACCAACTACCACACCAGCTACCACACCAACTAAAACACCAACTACCACACCAACTACCACACCAACTACCACACCAACTACCACACCAGCTACCACACCAACTACCACACCAACCACCACACCAACTACCACACCAACTACCACACCAGCTACCACACCAACTAAAACACCAACTACCACACCAACTACCACACCAGCTACCACACCAACTACCACACCAACTACCACACCAACTACCACACCAGCTACCACACCAACTAAAACACCAACTACCACACCAACTACCACACCAGCTACCACACCAACTACCACACCAACTACCACACCAACTATCACACCAACTACCACACCAACTACCACACTAACTACGACACCAACTACTACACCAGCTACCACACCAACTACCACACCAGCCACCACACCAGCCACCACACCAACTACCACACACCAGCCACACCAACTACCACACCAGCCACCACACCAACTACCACACCAACTACCACACCAACTACCACACCAACTACCACACCAACTACCACATCAGCTGACCACACCAACTACCACATCAACTACCACACCAACTACCACATCATCTGACCACACCAACTATCACACCAACAACCTCACCAGCTACCACACCAACTACCAAATCATCTGACCACAGCCTACACATGATAAAGGCCGTGTATTCAAAACACGCTAGGAGTTATGACTATCATTCAGCATGCGAATAGAGCACAACAGCTGTAGATTTATACCCAGAAGCATAAAGTCTCGAACAGCATACACGTTAAACATCTGATGTTCAACAGCTTTTATATCGAACAGCATACACGTACAGGATGCCTAACACTTTAAAGCCAAACAGAATATGCACAACAGCACAGACTTCAACTCAAACTTCAAGTTCACTAAAACTAGCATTGTCACTGATAGATGCTATATCAACTAGCACTTAAATCTATGTACGCCCTACACAACTAGACAAACACACAAAATTACACGGCCACGAATATGTTGGCTAGCACGAAATTAGCCCTGCCCTCTCATAAACAAGTACCAGCCTAACAACAAAAACACAAACTACACTTCTGGCAATACGTTAGCAGAAACTTAAATCTGATAAAAACAACAACAACAAAAAAAAACAACAACACCGTAACTAACCGTAAAAAGTAAATCCAAACAGTAAAACTGTAACGAGACATCCGGAAAATTTCTGCATGTTTGATTTCACTAAGCCTAACAAAGGTAATGTTTTAATGTTTTACTTGTAGCAGTTCACAGGTAACTGTCGTCTGCTCTGTTCAGTCCCTTTAAATATATGTGAGCCCAGCCTAATCTGTTAGCCGAAATAATCCAGGTAACACAACTTTTAATAGAACTTTATATCTGTTGAGCGTACGTAAGATAGATTGTATGAAATATAGTCCGACAACGTACAGGATACGGCTAGGATGGGCAAGGCTGGCCAATGATTTGACGTCTTGTGGTGTCGCTTACTTCACGCATGAGTTATTGACGTCTTTAGCAGGTGGTGATTGACGGCATTGGTTGAATTGTTGACGTCATGGGGTGATCCAATCACAAAGCCATTAGGTTCACTCAATCACAACGTCATAGGATTCACTTAATTACTATGTTTTGGGTTCACTCAATCACTACGTTATTGAGTTCACCCAATCGCTACGTCATAGGGTAAACCCAATCACTATTCATCGGGTTCACTTAATCACTAAGTCATTGGGTTCATTCAATCACAACGTCTTAGGGTTCACTCAATTACAATGTCATAGGGATCACTCAATCACTACGTCATAGGGTTCACGCAATCACTCCGTCATTAGAGGGGGTGGGGTTCAATCAGCTTCAGGGTAGTTTTGGTGTATATAAATGTGCACAACAATGCATTGCATTTTGTGGTCGTTGAAACTCTTATAGTAAGCACTTAATGAAATGAAACTGTTGTGTGCTAATGATACGTGATATGACCATGAATGTTTTATCATATAATGCCATGTAGGGTTTAAATCGAAATAATTTATAAAGTCGTTAAAACAATAATTTTGGGGCAGAGATATATATATATATATATATATATATATATATATATATATATATATATATATATATATATATATATATATATATATATATATATATATATATATATATATGTGTGTGTGTGTGTGTGTGTCTGTGTCTGTCTGTCTGTCTGTCTGTGTGTGAGTCTTTGATTATTTCTAATTTTAAGAACCAGATCTAAAATTTATGGTAAAGATGCTCCACCCCCCCCCCCCCCCCATTTCTGCCCTCTCATCTGCTCCCCCGACTGCCCGTAACGTCTGCCCACTAAACACTCTGTACACATATATACATACATGTGTTTTGGCTAACTTTTGCAAGCCTTTTGCTAATCTAAGTTCAGATACTAACCATGAGACTGTCGCAATTGCTATCCTTAATGTGAATCATTCCCTTAACAACAGTACAGGTATAAAAAAAAATCTGGATTTCTTTTTGTCCTGTCCATGTTTTTATAAGAACCGTTATCACCATTAGCAACAGTGCGCGCTAGTAGAGGTCAGCCAAAACTAATTTTAGAAATGCAGGTTAAAAAAAAAATCCTTAATTTAATTTAAATTCAAATAAAAGTTTGCCTCGAGATCTTAAAATAAAACTTGCAGCTTTGCTAGTGAAGAATATTGACATGAAAAAATGGCGTCAAAATTTCGTTTCGTGTCGTTCGCACCAAACTGCACACACTAATCAGACCGGTTCATCTTAATGCAGTTTCATTAGAATGGTATTAAAACATTCATATTAACATCTGGTTAATCCTTCATAGCCACCAAGGACTTCGGCTAATGGAGATTAACCATGCGATTAAAAAAAAAGAATAAATCAGAATTAATTTTCTTTTGGTTTTTCTGATCAGTTCAACTGATACAAGCTGTCCCACGTACATTTTTGGTCTGCCCAACTATGAAAAAAATGTGAACTCCGCCACTCAAAGATTTCAAACCCGTCCAGTTTTGGTGTTGGGCTGTCCCCTAGGGGCAAGCATTAAGGAAATTAAATTTACATTTGTTAACAGACATACGGTTTATAGTGTAGGCCTATCGGTTGGGAAAAAATACAGCTTAAAATAGACAGAGCTTTTGTATACAAACTTTGTCGGATAATCTTAGTATAAATTATTAACATTTGTCCTGTTGTAGTCAAGTAGTAGAATGATGGACTACACAATGGAAGGTTTCAGGTTCGAAATCTGGTTGAGCCAGAATTTGGACATACATTTCAAGTCATGAGCCAACAGAGTTTTAATTAGTACCCAACCTTAAATAACTATAGTACTCCGTGTTTTAGCGAACAGCCAGACTCTACTTCATCTGTTGTATCATCAAAACTAAACTCTCAATTGAAGAGTTCTAATTTAAAAGTCCTGTATACATAAATCAATGAAAGTAAAATCTGACCGAGGCCTTGTGACACGCCGATTCACCTAATTGACTTTGGGGGACAGCAGCAAACGGAAATGTACCGGATAATTGAGGTTTACAGCCCACTAAAATGTCCTACAGGATTGTCTCGGTTTTAATTTTTTTCTTTCAGCAAATGTTTCCGTTTCCAGTTTTTATGTAAGCCTCATGTATGCTAATGTTCTGAGTTTATTTGACGTTCATAAATGAAGTTTCGCGCGGTAAAACTTGTCTAGATAACTGAATTTAAAAAAATACATTAATATACGTTTTGCTGAGGTAAAAAAAAAAGCCTACGTATAATTTAAAAAGCTAGTGACGTAATGGCGTAGGCAGCCGAGAAGTCGTTGTTACATGTGAACAAGGTGAAGGCCAACAACGAGTCAGCAGACGGATATCCCTACGTAGTTGGGCGTGAACAACCGGGCCGGCCCTCATTTTTTTTCTATCCCAGACAACATTGCGTTTTGTTTTCATTCTTAAAACTAAAAACGAAAGCCTGGCCTAGTCGGAGTAGTCAGGCGAGCTGTCGGAAAAGTTTCAAGACTTTAGCTAGATATGTTTGTTTCAGGCGAAAAAGAAAAGCGAACAATTCTTAGAAAATAATTTTTCCAAAAGCTGTAGAAGATAACTCTGTCAGTCGAACTACAAGCTTACTTCTATTATCATTTGTCTCCCTTGTTAGAAATAGCTGTATGGCAATTGAATACGTACCTCTATAAATAATAGAAATCATGAAAATAATAAAAAAAATCTTTTTGTATGTTTTACTTATTAATTAATAATATGGTACGCAGTAGATGGTTGGTAGTGCTTTCCAACCGAATGTCTCGAGTTTGGAACGTCTCTGAGTCCACTCAGCTTTTTTGGGTACCTGATACATTGAGGAATGTAAAGGTGTCTGGGCACTCTTTCACATACATTGGCCAAAAAATCATCAACGCTGCTTCATATGCCCTATGGGTCGCCGAGTCTGAAACGGGAACTTTTAATTTTTGATACACAATTTTGATAGAACGGGCTATTTCGAAATTTTAACATCCCCGTTTTGACAGTAAAGAGTACATAATCCCTGGCTTCTATATTTATTTCACCCGTATTAATCTCCCTTTGGTGTACACAAGGATCTAAATGAACTGAAGCAAATCGTCACTATACTGTATCACCGACACCTGGATAATTCCACTCGTCTTTTGTTACATAAAAAACACCAGGATGTTGTGAACACAAACACGATCAAAGCAAGTGCAAGATATCGTGGCAACAACTTTAAAAACAAACAGATTAGGGGATAAACAGATGATAAATAAACAGGAAATGAAGTTTCTGGGAATAGTTTTTAAGTAAAGAATTGTGAGGGTAGATGGAGGGATCTAATTTTATTGTGTGGGCACTGGCCCAAGGATTCAGTGAAACTTAGCACGCGTCACTTTGAAGTTGTTCGTAAATAAACATCAGGTGTCATCCCACTCTAACGTGCCGCGCCCCCACTCTTACTCCACGCATCTCCGATTCACACCCCCCACCATCTTACGTCATTTGACACCCCCTTGTCCTAGTCATTACTCTACAACCACCCCAGTTAAGGGAGGGGTCCATGGTTAGTGTTAAAGGTAAGTGAGGGTTATTTGGTAGTGTCGAACTTAAGTAAGAGCCATCAGGTAGTGTTGAAGGTATTCGGAAGTTCATCAGGTAGTGTTGAAGGTAAGTAATGCATGCAAACCTTGTCGACAAAGATCAAAACAAAAACAGATGACCTCGTCCCACAAATGTTTGATCCCACCTCACACTCACCTTTTGGGCGTTGGAAATCCCACCTGATCTCATATCTTACACCGTTAAATGACGTCATAGCTTTCTTTTCAAGTGTGCATTGCCGCCAGCCAATCAGATCGTCGTTATTTCAGTTCACCCAACACTGGAAGGGGGGGGGGGTGTATGGCTGGTGTATATGATTAGGGTTATGTTTGACGTCAGAATGACTTACTATGTAAGAATGGATGGGGAAATTATAGCGTAGGGCGTTGGAGGTACGGATATGTTGACAAGATAATCAGTTGAAGGGGGTGAAATTATTGAAATTAATTTATTTTAAGTAATTGTGTGGACAGAAATACACATTTTTACATGACAGGGTTGGATTGATGGTTATTGTCTTCAGCTGTCGTCTGCTGACGTGGCGCTATGTTTTATGGGACGTATAGTAGACTTAACTTGACGTGTAGTAGCCTTAACATGACGTGTAGTAGCATTAACGTGACGTGTAGTGGCCTTAATGTAACGTGTAGTAGCCTTAACGTGACATGTAGTGGCCTTAATGTGACGTGTAGTAGCCTTAACGTGACGAGTAGTAGCCTTGACGTGATGTGTAGTAGCCTTAACGTGACGTGTAGTAGCCTTAACGTGACATGTAGTGGCCTTAATGTGACGTGTAGTAGCCTTAACGTGACGTGTAGTAGCCTTAACGTGACGTGTAGTAGCCTTAACGTGACGTGTAGTAGCCTTAATGTGACGTGTAGTAGCCTTAGTTTGACGTGTAGTAGCCTTAACTTGACGTGTAGTAGCCTTAACGTGACGTGTAGTAGCCTTGATGTAACGTGTAGTAGACGTGTAGTAGCCTTAAAGTGACGTGTAGTAGCCTTAATGTGACGTGTAGTAGCCTTAAAGTGACGTGTCCTTAACATGACGTGTATGTCACGACCCAATTAAAAGTTTCACGACTTCTCATAATTCAGCTACAACTTCTGTTCTGGTGTTATGAAAAAATGTTTTGTGTTTACAACCATTTTAGTAATTGAATTGGCCAACGTTTTTGTTGTATATAAAACACACTTCAATATCATCTCACAACACACACAAGTAATCGATTCTATATGCTCCTCATTACATCACACACAAGTAATCGATTCTTTATGCTCCTTATTACATCACACAAGTAATCGACTATTACCTTCCTTATCATGACGCCATTCTCAAACAATGCACGTTTTTATCTTTATCTCATCTTAGCCTCCCCACTCAATAGGACATAGTCCTGTCTCCCCACTAGGACAGCCCTACCGTCCCACTAGTACATAGTCCCACAGTCCCACTAGACTAGGACATAGTCCTACCGTCCCACTTGACTAGGACATAGTCCTACCGTCCCACTAGAGTAGGACATAGTCCTACCGTCCCACTAGAGTAGGACATAGTCCTACTGTCCCACTAGGCTAGGACATAGTCCTACCGTCCCACTAAGACATAGTCCTGCCGTCCCACTAGACTAGGACATAGTCCTACTGTCCCACTAGGCTAGGACATAGTCCTACCGTCCCACTAAGACATAGTCCTGCCGTCCCACTAGACTAGGACATAGTCCTACTGTCCCACTAGGACATAGTCCTGCACCCCACTATGACATAGTCCTACCGTCCCACTAAGAAATAGTCCTACCGTCCCACTAGGACATAATCCTGTTGTCCCACTAGGACATAGTCCTACCGTCCCACTAAGACATAGTCCTGTCGTCCCGTATGACATAGTCCTGCCGTCCCACTAGGACATAGTCCTGCCGTCCCACTAGGACATAGTCCAACAGTCCTACTAGGCATTGTCCTACCGTTCCACTATAATAGAACATTGGCCTGCATTCCCGTAGGGTCAAATTAAAAAATATGCGTTTTTTTTCAGTAGTACCCCATTTTTCTTCACTGCCTCTTTTTTTTTGTCCAGATAATTCCAGACAAGTGTCAATCTCTATATGCTTGTCATCGGTATCCTGAAAGTTTGGTCAACCCAACATCCTTTAAAATCATTTTTTTTTTCATTTTATCATTTAAAACATCTTATCACATTATCACCCTCATCTACTCCCTAGATTTATCATTTCACTTACCCTAAGGTATGATTCAGTTAGAAACAAAACAACAACTTTGCCACAACAACGAAATATTTTATTGTGTTTGAATGAGACAACGTAAAAAAATAATTATCGGATGAATGTTCAGGTTGGGGAAATGACAGAAAAGTCATGAATGATGGCTTCAGATGCTGAATGATGACGTCAGATCCTGCATGGTGACGTCATATTACGTAGGATGACGTCAGACTTTGGTTCCGCAAGGTGACGCCACGTTACTTTTCCAGTCACAGGCGTCAATGGAAGCGTCGAACACAAGATCTAAGTGGTATATGTATATATGTATATATATACATATATATATATATATATATATATATATATATATATATATATATATATATATATATATATATATATATATATATATATATATATATGTGTATATATATATACATATATATATATATATATATATATATATATATATATATATATATATATATATATATATATATATATGTATATATATATATATATATGTATATATATATATATATATATATATATATATATATATATATATATATATGTATATATATATATATATGTATATATATATATATATATATATATATATATATATATATATATATATATATATATATATATATATATATATATATATATATATATATATATATATATATATATATATATATATATATATATATATATATATATATATATATATATATATCACAAGAGACAAGATGCTAATACTTATATTAGTTTTGAAAAAAAATGATTTTAAAGAACTAAGATGAGTTCCTACTAGATGGGCAGTACTGACGTCCCAGCAATTTTTCTCCCGCGCAGACGAAGTATGAGATGCAGTGGTCAGTTAAATCCGGATAAAACCCGTCAGCTTTACCCAGACATGGCGATTGTAGACCACAGTCCGTGGTACCTGCACCTGGCCTGGCATGTGAAGTTGGTATAGGTTTGTTAATTAATGACAAGCTGGTGTTGGTTCATGTAGTTGTCACGCCCACACTAAGTACCACGCCCACACTAAGTACCACACCCACACTAAGTACCACGCCCACACTAAGTACCACGCCCACACTAAGTACCACGCCCACACTAAGTACCACGCCCACACTAAGTACCACGCCCACACTAAGTACCACGCCCACACTAAGTACCATGCCCACACTAAGTACCACGCCCACACTAAGTACCACGCCCACACTAAGTACCACGCCCACACTAAGTACCACGCCCACACTAAGTACCACGCCCACACTAAGTACCACGCCCACACTAAGTACCATGCCCACACTAAGTACCACGCCCACACTAAGTACCATGCCCACACTAAGTACCACGCCCACACTAAGTACCACGCCCACACTAAGTACCACGCCCACACTAAGTACCACGCCCACACTAAGTACCACGCCCACACTAAGTACCACGCCCACACTAAGTACCACGCCCACACTAAGTACCATGCCCACACTAAGTACCATGCCCACACTAAGTACCACACCCACACTAAGTACCACGCCCACACTAAGTACCATGCCCACACTAAGTACCACGCCCACACTAAGTACCATGCCCACACTAAGTACCACGCCCACACTAAGTACCACGCCCACACTAAGTACCACGCCCACACTAAGTACCACGCCCACACTAAGTACCACGCCCACACTAAGTACCACGCCCACACTAAGTACCACGCCCACACTAAGTACCATGCCCACACTAAGTACCATGCCCACACTAAGTACCACACCCACACTAAGTACCACGCCCACACTAAGTACCACGCCCACACTAAGTACCATGCCCACACTTACTGCACACACTGCTTGGTGTCACGGTCCCACACTTCGCCAGCTGCGCAGGTATGATTGACCAGCTGATTGGACTGGCAGTACCTGTAGCCCCAGCAATAGACCTCGGCCACCCAGCCGTCTGCCCGACCCTCGCAAGGGTTGTACTCACCAGCACGTGAGGCTGAACACAAACATAACACCATGGTATACATAGCTTATGATGATCAATGAATTAAACACAAACAACACCATGGTATACATAGATTATGATGATCAATGAATTAAACACAAGTATACCACCAAAACACAAAACATTACATACCTTATGAAGGTCAATGAATGAAACACAAACACAACAGCATGGTATACATATCTTATTATGATCAATGAATTAAACACACACTAAACATTACGAATTGAACACATATTAAACATTACATAGCTTATGATTATCGACGAATTGAACACATACTAAACAAACACATTTTACCATGCCATAGAAAGCTATTGAAGATAAACACATTAGTTAGAAGCACATTCAATTATTTCACAAAGTTGGGTACCTAACTACTTTGGGTTATTGAGTTTAATTAAATTATTTCACATAGTTAGGTAGGTAACTAATTTGGATATTTGTAATTTTCAAACTATATAGCGCACACCACGGTTTTAGAGGGTAATTAATTAAACTACACTTCGAAGATGAGGTTCCTAGGGTGCAAGTGAAGTAGAGTTCACCTGTTTTTGTAACCTCAGCATATGAAGTAATAGTGTGGTCAGCACTATGCCCAGCCGCCTTTACTTTCCCTAACGTGAGCCAGGTACTCATCACAGCTTGGTGGACTCAGGCACTATCTACGTATTGAAACCCGGATTCGAACTCGAGACTTTCGAACTAGCTGTCGTTTGCTTTACTTTTCTACCTCACGGTCCCACAAAGGGTAATTAGTTTCACTTAAATTAGTGTAAATAAACACTATCTGAATGAATGTGTACATGTGTACAGAGCACAAAGGAGTTTCGTACACGTACACTTAACAAATGAGGTTTTTGTAAACACGCACACAAAACAATATTCTGCTTTGTAAATAATTATTTGCAACGTAGACAGAAATACAGAGTTTTTTCCGGCAACGCCTCTTTTTGTGTATCACACTTGCAAGACCTCGGACTGGGCGATGTAGTTTAATAGATAATCACGTGACAGCTTAATTAGACACGTGACCACATCTCTTATAACAGGCACGTGACCGTACACCTTTATACGACGTCACACAACCAAACAACCCTACCTGGGATACACATGGCATAACAGGCACGTGACCCTACACCTTTATACGACGTCACACAACCAAACAACCCTACCTGGGATACATATGGCGCCGCCAAACAGGACCGTTAACAGCAAGCACACCTTGTGGATCATCGTTAGCTGACGTCACTGCTAGCTCACCCAGCGTCTCAAGGTTTTAGTAGGTCACTCAGCGTCTCAAGCCTTTAGTAGGTCACTCAGCGTCTCAAGGCTTTAGTAGGTCACTCAGCGTCTCAAGGCTTTAGTAGGTCACTCAGCGTCTCAAGGCTTTAGTAGGTCACTCAGCGTCTCAAGGCTTTAGTAGGTCACTCAGCGTCTCAAGGCTTTAGTAGGTCACTCAGCGTCTCAAGGCTTTAGTAGGTCACTCAGCGTCTCAAGGCTTTAGTAGGTCACTCAGCGTCTCAAGGCTTTAGTAGGTCACACAGCGTCTCAAGGCTTTAGTAGGTCACTCAGCGTCTCAAGGCTTCAGTAGGTCACCCAAGGCTTTTGACGTAAGTGATTTGTTTTTAATGGTCTGACGTTCACTCGGTCAAACTGCGTGATGATTTAGCTCGCTGCTCGGGTCTTAAATACGGTCAGCAGAAGTGATGTATACCATGGACTAAATAAATACAGAAGTGATTTAAACCATGGACTAAATAAATATCTCTCGCATTCAGGAAGTTGGTAGAATCTTGACCCTCAAGATCAGCCAATGGCTGTCTGATAACTCCTTCGTATGGTTGGGTGTCTGATAATATTTGGGTGTGGACGGTTATTGGGTGTGATGGTTGTTGGGGTGATATTTGTTGGTTGTGATAGTTGTTGGGTTAATAGTTGTTGGGGTGATAGTTGTTGGGTGTGGTAGTTGTTGGGTGTGGACGGTTATTGTGTGGTTGTTGGGGTGATAGTTGTTGGGGTGATAGTTGTTGGGGTGATAGTTGTTGGGTGTGACGGTTATTGGGTGTGATAGTTGTTGGGTGTGATTGTTGTTGGGGTGATTGTTGTTGGGGTGATAGTTGTTGGTTGTGATAGTTGTTGGGTGTCTTATAATTGTTGGGTGTGATAGTTGATGGGTGTGATAGTTGTTGGGGTGATAGTTGTTTGATGCGATAGTTGTTGGTTGTGATAGTTGTTGGGGTGATAGTTGTTGGTTGTGATAGTTGTTGGGGTGATAGTTGTTGGATGTGATAGTTGTTGGGGTGATGGTTGTTGGGGTGATAGTTGTTGGGGTGATAGTTGTTGGGGTGATAGTTATTGGGGTGATAGTTGTTGGGGTGATAGTTGTTTGATGTGATAGTTGTTGGGGTGATAGTTGTTGGATGTGATAGTTGTTGGGGTGATAGTTGTTGGATGTGATAGTTGTTGGGGTGATAGTTGTTGGATGTGATAGTTGTTGGGGTGATAGTTATTGGGGTGATAGTTATTGGGGTGATAGTTGTTGGGGTGATAATTGTTTGATGTGATAGTTGTTGGGGTGATAGTTGTTGGATGTGATAGTTGTTGGGGTGATAGTTGTTGGATGTGATAGTTGTTGGGGTGATAGTTATTGGGGTGATAGTTGTTGGTTGTGATAGTTGTTGGGGTGATAGTTGTTGGATGTGATAGTTGTTGGTTGTGATAGTTGTTGGGGTGATAGTTGTTGGGATGATAGTTGTTGGGGTGATAGTTATTGGGGTGATAGTTGTTGGGGTGATAGTTGTTGGGGTGATAGTTGTTGGATGTGATAGTTGTTGGTTGTGATAGTTGTTGGGGTGATAGTTGTTGGGATGATAGTTGTTGGGGTGATAGTTGTTGGATGTGATAGTTGTTGGGGTGATAGTTGTTGGATGTGATAGTTGTTGGTTGTGATAGTTGTTGGGGTGATAGTTGTTGGGATGATAGTTGTTGGGGTGATAGTTATTGGGGTGATAGTTGTTGGGGTGATAGTTGTTGGGGTGATAGTTGTTGGATGTGATAGTTGTTGGGGTGATAGTTGTTGGATGTGATAGTTGTTGGGGTGATAGTTGTTGGGGTGATAGTTGTTGGGGTGATAGTTGTTGGGTGTGATAGTTGTTGGGTGTGATAGTTGTTGGGGTGATAATTGTTGGGTGTGACGGTTATTGGGTGTGATAGTTGTTGGGTGTGATAGTTGTTGGGGTGATAGTTGTTGGATGTGATAGTTGTTGGGGTGATAGTTGTTTGATGTGATACTTGTTGGGTGTGATAGTTTTTTGATGCGATAGTTGTTGGTTGTAATAATTGTTGTATGTAGGGTATGTGAGAGCTCTATTGTTATGTTGATCCCACACAGTTGTTGGCCCGTATTTACAAAAGTTCTCTAGCTTTAAAAACTTATAACACTTAAGTCGACAACAAAATGGTAGGCCTATAATGTTACTGAACTTAAAAAAAAAACAACAAAATTTTAAATGTCTGTCAAATATTTATTTGGATTAAAATCCCACAAATAATAATATATTTTAACAGTTTCCTGTAAACTTGCAAAACAAATATCTAAAAATAGACTCAACATTACCGAAATAGTTTTAAATAGAATTGGATTTTCATTAATTAAAATAAACCACTGAGTGAACAAATTATATTACATTGATAACAGAAAGTCTATGTTACATTGATAACATCTAGTCTTTGTTACATTGATAACATCTAGTCTATGTTACATTGACAATAACTAGACTACATTGACAACAGCTAGACTACATTACTTTGACAACAGCTAGTCTACATTACATTGATAACATCTAGTCTATCCTACATTGACAATAACTAGACTACATTGATAACAGCTTGTCTACATTACATTGATAACAGCTTGTCTACATTACATTGATAACAGCTAGTCTACATTACATTGATAACATCTAGTCTATGTTACATTGACAATAACTAGACTACATTGATAACAGCTTGTCTACATTACATTGATAACAGCTTGTCTACATTACATTGACAACAGATAGACTACATTACTTTGACAAAAGCTAGTCTACATTACATTGACAATAACTAGACTAATCAATGAAATAAATTGAACATAAAGCTTCAACAAGTGGCTATCAGGATTAGATCTGGGTGCCAGTTGGATTAGATCTTGGTGCCACAGGGTGGGGGTACTTGGTACGCATAGCCGCAGGCGTTAGCCTGTTGGTTGTACACCAAATCTGCAAGAAACATTAGCAAATTTTGGACTAGAAAATGAAACAACAAACATTTAAACTATCGGACTACAATGTTCAAAACACTAAACACATAGACACGTTGGACATAAATTCAACATTTGAAAAGACGAAACATAACTTGAAAAAAGCCGAGTACAAATAAAATGCATTCAACATATCGCACACAGCGGGGTACTCACTAGCGTCGCAGTAGAGTCGACCAACAAACTGCTGTGACGTACAGCCGTAGAAGGTAGAACAGCCGTACAGCACGTCAGGATAGTAGCCGTCCAGCTTGCCGGAACAGTCAGCAGGCTGTCCGCAGGCGTTCCTGTTCTCTGAGATTCTGCAGGCGAGAAGCAATCACGTGATCAGTCAGTCATGTGACAGACATCACAGGAAAAACAGACCTGTTCAAAAAACTACGAACTGCGCTTTCTTACACTGAAGATTTACATCACCAATGGAGTAGGTTCTATCGTAGTATGTAGTGTATAAGACAACAGAAAGTTAATCGTTCTGTTACTGGTTTAAAAATAATCAATGACTATGCCAGTTACCGGTCTCTAGTTAGGAGATAAATGTTGGTACGGGATGGGGTGAGTAAGCTCACAAAAAAGCCCAACTAAAAGCCCCACAAAAAGACCAACTAAAAGCCCCACAAAAAGACCAACTAAAAGCCCCACAAAAAAGCCCAACTAAAAGCCCCACAAAAAGCCCAACTAAAAGCCCCACAAAAAGCCCAACTAAAAGCCCCACAAAAAGCCCAACTAAAAGCCCCTCAAAAAGCCCACGAACGCCAGCAGAACTCCACCACAGAAGGCACGCAGAAAATGCACAACAATCCCCACAGAAATCTAAATTTGAAAAAAATATATTATTCCCCCAAAAGCAAGCCCACCAAAAGTCCACCGAACGACCACCACAAGCTCGGGATAAATCCAAAAGCCCACCAAATGACCACAAAAAAACAACAAAAGCCCACCATATAATCACCAAATGCCCACCAAAATCTCCAAAAATCCCACCAAATGACAAAAAAGCCCACCAAATGACCACCAAAAGCTCGCTAAAAATCAAAATCCAAACACCACCCCCCAAACAAAAAAATAACAACAACGCACCTGACACAACGCTTGAGGTCCCTGTCGTAGACAAACTCCCCCGTGCAGTTGTAGACGGTGGGCGTGCCCCTGACACACACGCTGTAGGACCTGCAGCCGATCTGGACAATGTCCCCGTCCCGACGGCCCTGGCACGGGTTCCAGTCACAGTGGGCTGAAACAATCACGTGACAAGACAACTTTGAGATAACAATCAGTCGGAATCAACCCATAGTCTCATTATTTCAAGTTTAAATGTCTTTTGTGAGATATCTTTTATAAACAACAAACATTTGCACTTAACTATCGACAGACCCTGTGCCAAGAATTTAGAAGCTTATTTGGTTTAATTAAATATGTATGTATATATATATATATATATATATATATATATATATATATATATATATATATATATATATATATATATATATATATATATATATATATATATATATATATATATATATATATATATATAAAGGTATTATTCCATTTTTAAATAAATTTTGCAACATTCAATAAAAATGTATCAAAACTTAAATTAATAAATTGCGTACCTGTAGCGGCAAATATGACGACAACAAATAAACTCATATAGAGGTTAGAGCTCAACATTTTCTTTCTGCGGCAACTAAAGAGTGAAAACGAGGTTGAAAACTTGGTAGAGAACTCCGAGTGATTGTAATTTCACGACTTATATAACCAAGAATTACCAGGTCTAACACGGATCTTAGAGGTAGCATATAAAACAATGATTGATGGTTTCAAATTTCAGGTGTACGTAGGTAACTAGTCAGGTAACAGAACATGTTGGAGCTAATATCCTTTTATTTAAAATTCTAATTGCTCCAAAAAATTTTGTTTTCCAGGTAAAGCCAAAGTTTTCTCTACAATAGGCTTGTCTGTGTAAGTGGGTTTCGTATCAAATATTTGGCCAATAAAAGTAAATGTTTGCTTCACAAAAGTAAAGTTTCATTGTATTAAATGTTAGACTGACAAAAGTAAAGTTTCTAAGTATTAAATGTTAGATTGACAAAAGTAAAGTTTTTAAGATGTTAGACAAAAGTAAAGTTTCTAAGATGTTAGATTGACAAAAGTAAAGTTTTTAAGATGTTAGACAAAAGTAAAGTTTCTAAGATGTTAGATTGACAAAAGTAAAGTTTCTAAGTATTAAATCTTAGACTGACAAAAGTAAAGTTTCATTGTATTAAATGTTTGCTTGACAAACAATAAAGTTTCATCGTGTCAATTTCTTGCTTGACAAAAGTAAAGTTTTCATATAAGAAATAATCGTCTCACAAAAATGTATCAAATATCATGCATCCGTCTGATAAAATAAACTAAACAAAATACCCAACTTTGATATGTTATGAATTTGTGTGTGTGTAGGGGTGGGGGCTTGGGGGGGGGGGGGGAGTGTAAATTATTAGCTTAACTAGACAGGGAGTCACCTAACGTCACAATTAAAACGTCTTCGGGAAAAGTGGTGGGTAGGGGAGGGTGGGGGTGGCGGTGGGGAGACAGTGAGTAGCATTCTCATTTCTGCAGAGATCCGAACCTTGCACTAGCATACGGACCAACTCTTGACCAGTCGCCACCACACATGTGGGAACGGCAGCTCATTGAGCTCCATTTGCTGATGTTGTCGCTCGCTGCGATGGATGGTGTGTGTGTGTGGGGGGGGGGTCTGACCACAGAGACGCCAAGCTAACGTATGGATCCCATCTACTGATGTTGTAGCTCAGGAAACATCGGAGACTGTGGTGTGATTAAACCTATGACCTAGGGGGTAGGTACGGAGACTTTAGGGTGTGGTTTAACTGTGTGAGACTAGGACCTATGCGCTAGGGGGGTAGGGACGGAGACTTTAGGGTGTGGTTTAACCGTGTGAGACTAGGACCTATGCGCTAGGGGGGTAGGGACGGAGACTTTAGGGTGTGGTTTAACTGTGTGAGACTAGGACCTATGACCTAGGGGGGTAGGGACGGAGACTTTAGGGTGTGGTTTAACTGTGTGAGACTAGGACCTATGACCTAGGGGGGTAGGGACGGAGACTTTAGGGTGTGGTTTAACCGTGTGAGACTAGGACCTATGACCTAGGGGGGTAGGGACGGAGACTTTAGGGTGTGGTTTAACTGTGTGAGACTAGGACCTATGCGCTAGGGGGGTAGGGACGGAGACTTTAGGGTGTGGTTTAACCGTGTGAGCCTAGGGCCTATGACCTAGGGGGGTAGGGACGGAGACTTTAGGGTGTGGTTTAGCCGTGTGAGCCTAGGGCCTATGACCTAGGGGGGTAGGGACGGAGACTTTAGGGTGTGGTTTAACCGTGTGAGCCTAGGGCCTATGACCTAAGGGGGTAGGGACGGAGACTTCGTACGTGTACTTTGATATAAAGGGTGAGCATGGAGCGGCCAAAGTTTGAAGGTGTTTAATAATTATTTCCTGTTCGCGAACAGCTCTAAGTCCAGGCACACATTAGGCTTGTTGTGCATGAATAAATCACCTTGTACGTTTGAGGACAGGAGATATGGGTGGGGCGCGCGGGGGGGGGGGGGGTCAGAAGATTTACTAATGTGGAGAGGGGGGGGGTGTATAAGGGATAGAAATGCATTATATAGGTCAAAAATTATATTTGCGTTTGTTTCATTACCTATTTCTTAAGGAGAAAGGGGGTGGGGGGTGACAACAGTTGACAGAAAGGGGGTGGGGGTTTAGAACTATAAGTCCACGCCCTGACGTGGGGTGGGGTCTTTATTTTTGTGACAGTGTCGATGGCAGGGGGGAGGGGGAATGTTAAAATAAGTTAAATAAAAAAAAAAAACGTAAAGTGCAGGTGTGACCTCTGATATACTTACCTGGAAAATATGGGGCTTGTTTAACATCCTAGCCTGATGTAGGTCACCTGGGTTAGCTAACCGGATTTCCGGCACAGGACCGGTTATCGTGCATCTGTACTGTCCGGTTTGTCGGACAAAATCCGGATTCTAGTGGACACGTCAGTGGTTAATAGGGTTGTTTGCGTCACATCGGGTTGTTCGTGAGGTATCGGGTTGCTTGGGACATATCGGGTTGTTTGTGAGATATCTGGTTGTTTGTGTCATATCGGGTTGCTAGGGACATATATGGTTGTTCGTGAGGTATCGGGTTGCTAGGGGTATATATGGTTGTTCGTGACATATCACAATGTCCAGGATACATTGTTGATGTTCGTGGCCCACCTACCAACACACGATGCACTATTGTAGTGGGCGCAGTTGTTTTTGTAATATGAGACAAATAGAAAGTGGCAGTTCGAGCAGGTCTGGCAGCCATTTCTATAATTTCATACAGTGAGTATAAAGACAACCCTTATCCCACCCCCTATGCCAATGAATCTACCTGCATTTTTTCAGAAATTCTAAGTTTGAATTATTCATATAGCAAAGAAAAAAAAACCTATCGGCAAAATATTGCTTTGTTATATTGGCTTAATCTAAGTCAACTCAAATTCAAATCTTACCTCGGCACAAGGGTACTGTGTTAATCCCCTTAAATCTAGCAGTCTTAGTCTTTAATTCAAGTGGTTGAGGGAATCTTATTTGCGAGATATCCCAATTTTAAGAGTACCTGGCCTGAACTTACAAGGCCTAACAAATGTCCTACAACCATACAGTTATACCAGTATCATACACAGAACGCGTAGCGAGGGCGGGGCGGGGGGTGCGGACCGCACCGGGTGACACCTTTTTGGGGGGTGACACCAAGGCAAAAAATTGCAAAATGTACAGAAGAAAAATGCCTTTTTGTCATTCCCATTAATGATTATTTAAAGCTAAATAGTCTTTTAAGTCCAAATCGACAATTATTACAACAAGGTTGAGGCGACACCATGACGTACATGTACTAAATATAAAGAAAGCAATGCTACATACAACTGTAGTATTAACATACTTTAGATAAAAATCGTTTCTGTTAAGCGTGTAGGCCGACATACAAACACACACACACATACATATATACCCCCCCCCAAGAAACAAAGTATATATATATATATATATATATATATATATATATATATATATATATATATATATATATATATATATATATATATACTTTGTTTCTTGGGGGGGGGGGTGACACCACGAAGTGCCGCACCGGGTGACACCCGACTTAGCGACGCCACTGATCATACACACTCACACTCTCACACACTCATGTTGTCACACAAGCCCTTTCATCGTCACATAAGCCCCTTCATTGTCACATAAGCCCCTTCATTATCACACAAGCCCTTTCATCGTCACATAAGCCCCTTCATTGTCACATAAGCCCCTTCATTATCACACAAGCACCTTCATTGTCACACAAGCCCCTTCGTTGTCACAAAAGCCCCTTTGTTCTCCCTCTGTGACACAAGCCCTTTATTATCTACATAAGCCCCTAAGCCCCTAAGCCTCTGATATCATATCACCGCGAATTACCTGACAAAAAAAATTAACTGAGTACATGAGAGCCTTTAACCAAACACTTAATCTCCCAGCGGTTTTAGCCAGGAGATTATGTTCTATCTGCTAAATACAAGACTTTAATCCGGTCAAGTTTTTCACAAACTCAGTCGGTCACGGTGACATTTAATGTCATTTTGACATTGTCCTTTTGTCAAATTTTGTCATTGTGATTTTTTAAACACAAGGGTCATAGCACCACATTTAACTGTTGATATTGTTTTTTTACAGTTCGTCGATTGTTAAGTTTGTACACCGAGGAAGGCTGTTTTAAATGTTAACAAGCTTTAAAAGACGGAGGGGTCTAGCGGTAGAGAGCTGGACTTCTAACCCGTAAGTCTTGAGTTCGAATCCGGGTTCAAGTAGACAGTCCCAATATGAAAAAAAGAGGTGCAAATACTGACATAAACATGAGAAATTAACTTAACACTTTAGTCAACTTAATTTCAATTTCTTTCAACGAAATTTAATAGAAATGATTAATTTTTTCGTTCTCAGGATGTGTACCTGGAGTGTTTATTAACCGAGGCACTGTGTTCTGTGCACTTATGCTTGTTTCATTAACATCCATAGAATTAAATCCCACGAGCCGACCCGCTGCGTATCATACGCCGCTATTTAGTTTTTTTTTTTTCTACTTTTCAGTAATTTATAATTTGTGAATTCGACAGTACCAATGCTGCCACTGAAAATATTTGCTTAAAAACACTAAACCCCCCTTCCCCCCCCCCCCCCACGTGAAAGCAGCCTCCTCTTAGTTACCTCCTCTAAGTTTAAAATCGTTTCAAACTAAATTATCTGCCCCTAATAGCCGTCACCAAACCCGTCTCTGTGATTGTAAAATGTAAACAGAGTGAACACCGCTCACCAGATCATGTGGGGGTGGGGTGGGGGTGGTAGTGATATTGATAGAGAGGAAGAGAGGGGTCTGCAAAGGCGCGCTTGCAGCTTGTTAACACGTTTTTAACACGTTTTTAACACGTTTTTATTAACTCAGCTTCGCGTGGATGTGTTTGTTGTTAAAATTGACATCGAAAATTAGCCCACTTCTGATTGCTCTATAGATCTGAAATTTGGCATGCAGGTTACTTTCGCCTAACAATTTCAGATGCAATCATAAAAACTAGCAATTAGAGACCGTAATTAGCTTAATTTAATTACGCCCAAAGGACCATAAAATTGAGGACATGATTTCTAAAGATACCGACAAGACTGGAGGCT